AAGCCTACTTCTGTGGGTAGATCGTTTTCCTATTCATCCATTGAAGGTGACTCCCACCTGGGATCTGGACTTTATATAGGGGTGAATGAACTGAACTCCCCCTCTGCTTGGACCCAGACATTGAACTCATGGCCCATCGAAAACATAGTTTGGCCTCTCCATAGTCAATAGAAACCCTCACGGTAATTATTCTCATGCTAGCTCACACCTGTCTCTCTTCTCCGCCCAGAATTACACTTTCTTGTAGTTTCTTCTCTCCAGTAGTCTATTATCTCATGTTAGAAACAAAAGCAAAAACAAGATGAAGAAGTGAGGAGATATTTTATCCAGAATTTTTAGATGTCTAAACCAAAGGAAGTTTGGCTTTACACCTAATCCATCATATTGTCAGAAGCAGAGGACTTCATTTGGTTTTTATAATATTTACCCAAAATATTAATGTGATCTGTGTAACTGTTAAAACGGCAAGCCACCTAGACCATGTCCTAAAAAATAATGCCTGCCTATAGCCTGACAACTGAATGATTTCAGTTGCCCGCAGCTACTGTGGGAATGAGCAAGGGCAGAGGCAGCCCGTCAGTTACTTAACGATCTCAGTCAGGCAGAGAATTCAATACAGGCTAAGTAATAAATACTGACTCACAGGCACATGCCCTCTAGCAAATGAGCTTCCAGTGTATACTGGGATCCATAATAACTGCCTAGTCCCACTAGTTTTAAATAAGTAGGTATCCTGCACCAGTAAGAGCTTTAGATTTTATGGTAAGGCAATAAAAATATTATGTAATTCCCCAGGGGCTAACATAAAATATTCAGTCTTTTAAAATAGTTAGTTCCTGTCCAGTGTTTTTATATGAGTTTTCAGAATCAGGGCTTCTTCTCACATAATAAGTTTAGATATAGTCCTTCAGGGAAAGGAATATATTATAATTATAACCTTCAATTAACCATCATATCTTAGTAACAATATTTTCTAAGTCCCCAGGCAAAATAAAGCACAGCTGTTTGAATTAGTGTTCTAATTCTCTCCTTCACTTTCATAAAGGAAGCATTCAATATACATAATGATCTGATAAAATGCAGGAAAAAGTGACAAAGAAAGTCAAGGAAAAGTAGCCAGCACTTGAAGTTTTCTCGCTGTAGAATGTTAGAGAAAACCATGCTGTGTAATGACATTCTTAGGACATTTTGTAACTTTAACTGAACAGCTCTGTAGGCATTATAGAGAAGACCTTATATAAGAGTAAACCATATGAAATTGTTACTATTCAACTATTTTTGACCTTCAAGCTTACAAATTCCATATGATTTAACCTCAAATTTTAGGTCAATCAAATCATCCCAGTTAAAATTGATTCTTGCTTGTCTAAAACTGTGAAGTTGTGTTATAACTGAATTGAAGCCTCACAGGGCATTATGGAACATAAAAAGGTGATCTTACAGACATGCTAATAAGAAAAAAATTTAAATATGCCTACTTTTCCTTCAGGACCACTAGTAAAAATTCTCTATGGTATACCAATGGTATCAAATTTTATTTAGATGTTCGCTTTTGACTATGCTCTGATACTCTGTGGTTCTTTTCATCCATGCAGCGTTCTTCTGATTCATTTTTCTCCATTTGTGCTGTTTTTCTCTGTGATGTGAATCCATCCTTATCCATTCTGTCATGTCTCCATTTTTTGCTGCTTCTTCAGATTGTGCTGAGTTATAAGAGGTAAGCTCCATCAAAAGAGGAAAAATTGACTCTTCTTTATGTCCAGGAAGAATCTGTTGTCCAAGGTATTCAATAATACTTCCCCTAAGAATCAATACTTTCTAAACTATACTTTGAAAGGAATTTATAAAGGAAATAGTTCCCCATAGCCACATCTACACTAGAATGCCTCGAATGCTCTTCATACACAGTGTGATGTCTGTACTTACTGCTAAGTGTCTTCTACGAGGATGCACAGTAGAGTTCTTGGTTTTGTAGAGTCCTCAACAACTCCCTCCATTGTCTGTACAGTAAAATAAACTGTAATGCCCCCCAGAAAGTACTAGTATTCAGTGCCATCTTGACTATAGGGTTTCAAGCCTGTTTTCATCTACCAGGTTCATGAGGATTATGATTACAAGGCAATATTTGAGTTACTCTATGTCCCTTAATGCAGAGAGTGACATTTCCAAAAGTTACCTGGTTTTATAATTTACATGGATCAAATTCAGCAGATAATAATCACCCCTCCCTTTAAGATTGTGCTGCCTCAGTTAATGGGAATTATTTTCATATTGATCTCAATTCCATTTCCAAACTTTAGGATTTCCTAGGGTCAGTAACTGGTGTAATATCTGAGTTTTATTATAACTTGCCTTTAAGAACAGAAAATCAAAATTGCTTTTCATTCAAAATGCCCTGACCTTCCTAAGCAACTAAAACCATTTTTTTAATTTTTTCTGAAGAAGACTAACCAATCTCCATAGGAAAACTCACAAAGCACAATTTGGATTTCTCATTCATCTATTGTTAGTTTTCTGGGTGTCATCTAAAGTTAATGGTAATAAAAAGATCCTCTGCCCCATATATTTGAGTGGGTTAAGTTTTGCCCTTGATAATCTTGTGGGAGCCAGAGTCTATGACATAATGCTACCTCAGCAGTAATTCTGTTGTCCTGAAATTAAGCAATGAATCCCATTGCTTTGTATTGGGAATGTGTCAAAATGTGATGGGCTAAGAATAAATTCCCATTGCTCACCTTGCCCTCCAGACTGCCATATGTTTTCAGAGACAGATGTTCAAACATTTTCCAGACACAGATTAGCATATCTGAAATGTTTGATAAAATAAATATTTAATTCAGGAGAAGAGTGTAGACATTTAATCTGTATGTTATGGTACCACAATATTGATAGGTTTGATGCAGAAGTCATTTTACCCTCTGCAGTCCAAGTCTTTCTATTCCCGTGACCTGCTTCCAAATCTTAGCACCATGCAGTGGATGATAGATTCTCATCATTAGTGTCCATTTTTATGAAAGATAGGTTCTCACCATTAGCATTCATCTTGTATTCTGCCTTTTCACATAGGTTAACTTTGTGTATAGTAGCAATACATTATATGTTTTGTGAAGTTAAGTTCCTACATAAATATATCTCATTGGAATTCTTGATGGCTTCCTTTAAGTTGTGGACAATGAGAAAATGCTTAAAGGGCTAACTTACTTGAATCACTCAGTGTGCTTGAGATACTGTGGTACTCAAAGTATGAAATAATCAACTCTGCCTGAGAGAAAAGAGATTTAAAAAGGCTTCTTAGAGGAGGTATCTTATTCTTAAAAGTGGTAATTTGCCATATGGGAAAGGGGTTTAACATCTCCCACAAATGATGGAAAGAACATATGAAAATTTGTAAGATGTCATATTTGGGTGGCTATAACCAGTTTGATGTAGTTAGATCATAAGTACTTGATAGAGGGATAGAAAGGGAGATGAATCAGATAACAAAGGCTGAGTATCTTTATTCATGTTATTATTGATGTGGATGGACCCTATAATAAATTTTAAATAGGAAAATGATGTGATCATATAGTAACATTACATGACATTAATGCCCCATTTTTAAACAACAACTTTCTACATGCCTTCTAGAAATCATCTTTTGCCAAGATTTAGATGTATATTAAGACAATACAGAAACTGAATAGGAACTAGCATAGATTTGGGCATTAGAGAGACCTGATATTGAATCCTCCAGTCACCTCTTCCCCACTGTATGATGGTAGAAAAATTATATCTCATTTTTTAAAACATTGAAATGAAGATATTATTTCTAGACCAGAGATTTGTTATTATAATTAAGAATTACAACTCATAAAAACTAACTGGCATATAATTGATATTCTCTATACATTAGCCCCTAGTTTAACATTGTAGATCAAGGCATTAAAAATATTGTTGTTTGAAATTATGGAAAGTGTTTCAATTTGAAAACCTGTGATTACTAATCAACATATGATTATTGCATAACTCGGAGGTGATGCCTAATGGTGTGATGTATTTTTTAAAACAGGCACAAGTTAAAATACACATTATTTATTGATGTGTGTATTTTTTTGTGACCTGTTCACCTTCCAGGGAAATTTCATGGTCCTTCCCTAATTTGTTTATCTATTTAGCTTGTAAAGACTTCAGTAGGTAGCTGATACTTACCAGTTTCTGGGTATCAACTAAAAGTTGTTTCTTTTATTTTTTTTCAAATAAAAATCTTGACATGACATCATCTTGACATGACAAGATGGAACCATATTTCTATTTTGCTGAAGAAATATTTTTAATTGATAAATGCATTTATCAATTAAATAATTTCCTCTTTGTCAAACATTTTCAATTGAAACCATGCCTATTTAAACAGAAATTGATCTGTTATTCACGACAAAGGAGAAAAAAGACTAACTCAACAAACTCTAATAAGTACTTCCTTTTCTTACTAGCCAAAATGTGCAGAAACAACAGAAACAGAAAGAGTACTTCTTTGGAACATGTGGATGGTCATAAATAACAGCTTTTTCTTGGAACAAAAACACTATTGACTCCCTTGATTAACATAACACTAATTCTAGAAATTGACTATTTGTTTGCTTCAGGTTAAAATTTTAGGTTTAAGAACAGTTTCATATTGAAAAATTCTTTGAAAATTATCTTGCTCTCACATTCAAATCCCAGCTGCCTCTTAACTATGCAAAGATAGAGTCATGAAATTACTTGAGATTCTTCAAAAGGGGAAAACTAAACACAGAAATCTACTTAAAATATCTAATTCTTCAGTATCCTAATTTGCCTTTAAGGATTCATTTTCCAGAATTCCCACTACCATTAACTGTGATACTACTACCCTGGGAAATATTGCTAACCTAAATCAAGATATGGAGAATAAGAGAAACTAAGAGTACGTAGTAATTCCATGAAGGTCAGCCTATTTTTCATTAACCCCACATCATTCTTTCCTTAACAACCATCCTCAGGAAGCTCCGGTGGTAGCCAGAGCAGCTCTGTTCCTGGAATGTGCCCGGTTTGTTCACCGCTGTAACCGTGGCAACTGGCCAGAGTGGATGAAAGGGCATCATGTGAATATCACCAAGAAAGGCCTTTCCAGGGGCCGCTCTCCCATCGTGGGCAACAAACGGAACCAGAAGCTGCAGTGGAATGCTGCCAAGCTCTTCTACCAATGGGGAGACGTGAGCTTTTGATTTTCTTATCTAAATGTTGGGGTACTTGAGTCAAGTGAAAAAGTCCTGTGTTTATGTTGTTGGGGAGACAATTTATTAAGTGCCTGTTATGTACCAGGCACTGAACAAAACATCTTAAAGGAAAATAAACGTTAATTCATTTTATCTTCCCAGTAAATCTATGAAGTTAGACATTATCTCCTCTCTTTCCTTGGTCCTCTGTCTCCTTGCGCCCCCCCCATAAATGTCGACATTCCCAGAATTTGTTATAATTTTTTTGTGTATAACCTCCTCCAGGACTACATTTATTCCTGTGTTTTCAACTGTAACATGTATTCCAGTGGCACAGACTTCTCTATCCATAGCACCATTCAGACCAACACTGCCAACTGCACTCCGGAGGTATTCACTTAATACCCTGAAACACGATCTGACCAAAGCAAAACTCTTCTTCCCATATAAATACACCCCCATCTGCAAGCCTTCCTGAACTTTCTATTCTTACAAATGGTACCAGCATTCTCAAAGATGATAGCCTTTGAACATATTCCAACCTTCCTTCCCTTACTGATTCCACCTCTTCTATGTTACAAAGGTCCTATTAGGTCATATTTTTATTCCTTCTCATCTGGATGACTAAGATATTTTCCTATTTAGTCTCCTTCCCACAGTCTGCCCTCATCTGACCCATCCTACACACTGTCAGTGAAATGATCTCCATATGGCAGAGCCCATCTAAAAGCAGAACGTTCATACTTATCTTCTGGCTTCCAGATTTGCCCCCTCTAATTCATTCTCCAAGCTGCGCTCACAGTGATTAGACTAAAATGCAAATCAGATGGTGTTTCTTACCCACTTATAATGCTTCAGTGGCTCTCCTTATCCCTTGGGATAAAACCCAAATTGCTTAGTCTGGCATCACTGCTCTCTCTTAGTATTCAAAACATACCAAGCTTATGGATGATGAAGTCAAATGAGCTAATATATCTAAAAGACCATTAATCTCAATCCTTTGTGTCTAAGAGGTATTCAATGATAATAAGTTATTACATTCATTTTTGAAAGGTTACATGGTTTGTGCATTTCTAGGCAGTTAACACCGAGTCTCTTGAATGAGTAAGTGTTCTCCCTCATGCTCATATTACCTTTCATCCTTCTTTAGAATACGAAATGAAGTTCAGCTTCAAGAACTGTGAGATCTAGTCCCAGTCTACCTTGTCAGCCTTCAGGCACTTGATTTCCTGTCACAAAATTGTGCTTCCACCAAGTGGCTTACTTGTCAGTCTCTGAACATGTCAGTGCACTTCCTTGATGGATCTTTTGGAACTCTCCATCTGGAGTGTTCACTTCTCCCCTTCTCCATTAGCCAAAGTTAGCCATTAGCTCCATTAGCCCTTAGCCAATTCTTCAAAATCTACTGCAAAGAGACACTCTGTGATTTCCTGAAATGAATCTAATCTGTCCATCTTCTGAACTATTGAGAGTGCTTTTCATCTCTTTTGATATTTAATGTGTTAATTTGATGTGTTGTTGCCTCTCCCAAGAGACTGTAAGCTCCTTGAGGGGAAGAGCAAAACACAGACACGCTGCTTTCAAATCTCAGATCACAGTTTGCTGAGCCACCTTGAGCAAGACTTTCAACCTCTCTAACCTTCCCAGTTGCCAAACAGTGATCCTTCTAAATGAAGGTTTATAATCTACTAGGGCACAGGAAGCAAAAATACTGATGTACTGTAACAACTTATTCAACTCTGTTTTATTTAATACCTAACACATGACTTCACTTAATAAAGATTTGATGAATGAAGAAAGGAACAAACTTATCCTCAAGCCATTTTTTTTTTTTTAGCCTTGGAAGAGACATAGAGCTCTAACTTATTATTCAGACATTTAGTATTATCCCAGACTAGTTCATTTTCTGAGCAACCCTTTAAGTTTTATGAACTGTGGATTTAACTTAAATTGCTTAGTGTCAATATCCTGGAATGATTGATGCAGATTTTTTTTCCCCTTTGAATCTCACTATTAATTTTATTGGCTCCACTCCAGACTCCTAATTGCAGATCTCCTTCTTTAGAGAAGATCTCCAAAATAATAGCATCAGGACAAGGTTTTTTTGTTGAAGTAGTAGTTTTTGTTTTTATGTTTTGTTTCACTTGCTTAAAACTCCTCAGGTTAGTGGTTGAATTTTTGGGAAGTCATGGTATCTTTTTTACACTGCTTTCTTTCTCTTTGATAGAGTTTTTATTACTTGCCACTTAATTCCAGAGTTTAAGGAGAACTTTTTGCTTCCAGAGAGCCAAGACATTCAAACAAATTGTGTTTTCATTTGAAGACATATCTTTGTCAGTTTACAGTAGAAAGTCTAATTTCATGCATGCCCAGTTCTAGCAACTTCTTTAAATATTTGAAAGAAGTAATACGGGAATGAAGATGAAAATTAGCTGGAACTTTGTTCTTACTAATGCACAGAGTAACTAAGCTCTCAAACCCCAAGTTCAGTGCTCATTTTAGCTTTTGACTCTCCTTCCTAAGCACATGTCTCTTCCTGTCTTGCACACAGTATATAATTGGAAAATAAAAGAATCAGAAAGAGGTGGCATATTTTGTCTCTTTCTGTAAAATTCCTTTTGGTAAATCAGACAATAGTGCATGATGATTCAGAAGAACAGATAGCAAGTATTGGTTCCATGTTGATGTTGGATACTTTATCAAAGGAATAGTTAGTGTTTCTTACTAGTACATAAAGTATCATAGAGTGAGGGAACAAAGTCTATTGAAAAAAAAAACCCATTAATTGTGTATCTAATGGCAGATGTAAATAAAACTGCTGTACTAGAATTCATGTCAACCTCCAACTCATTAGCATGGCAGTGACATTCTCATAAAACAGCATAATCATAAGCGCTCTGAGGAACTGTGAGGTCTTGCTTGTTTGTTTTTAACTACAACAAAATCCTCTGTTAAAAACATCTGCATACTCCCTTATAGGAGACCTATAAAACAAATGACCTTCAAGTAAGTGGAAATAGTTTCCAAAAAAAATTTTGTATGAGAACACAAAGGTGTTGTTCAGGTTCCTACAAGTCTTTAAATGACCACGGAGATGGCATCAATGCCATCCACCTCTGCGTTTCCACATAGGGAAACACGGTGGCAATACCACCACAGCACATAGAGGAGGCTTTTGCTGTATGTTTAAATATCAGTTTCTTGGTTTCATGTGTCCTAGTAGTTTATACATGCCCATTACAGTTGCTTATTACCTCTGTAATGTGGGAGCCTATTTTGCAGTCTGACATACTTTGTGCTGTTTTTTTTTCTCCCCATGGCAGGCGATTGGTGTCCGGTTGAATGAGCTGTGCCATGGGGAAAGTGAGAGCCCTGCCAACCTGCTGGGTCTCATTTATGATGAGGAGACCAAGAGGAGACTGAGAAAGGAGGATGAGGAGGAAGACTTTTTAGATGACAGTAAGGCGACTCCCTTTACTACAAGAACCCCTGCTTGTAAGAATCTCTGCTTTAGGAGCACTTAATATTCCTCTTTCCTCTTTCACATTCTTACCACCTTCCCATGTCTCCCCACTGCACCTTTTCCCCTATTCCCTGTGCATGGATGTAATGCATGTGCATAAAGCCACGTAAAGAGAGGATGAGAACCAGAATGAGAAGACGATACACAGAGACAAGGAGTTACAGGCGATACGGAGCTCCATTGCCTTATAGTCTGTGACTCATACTATTATACAAAAATTAGTTTTAGACCTCTCTGAGAAAATATAACAGTAAATTACTGACCCAGTAGAGGATTAATCAGGTTTTACATTTTTTCATTACTCTTGGAAATTAAAAAAAAAAATTACACCAAGTAGACTTGAACGTGAACTGCTTCTCAGATGATTAAAATAGTGGATTGCTTAGAATAATTACTGTATTTAACATGAACTTAAAATATTAAATAATTTGGGTGGTTAGACAGTGAGTATCTGCTGTACTGTACTTATTTGTTAAAATTAGAAGCTTGTCCCACCATAGAAGAGTAGAGACAAAGAGATTCCTGTGCATTCCTCTTCAACACCATTTTGTTCATACATGTGTTCTATACCATACAATCTTGTGTACGTGTACCACTGCCTTTTATGAACCATACAGTTCCTCCATGGTATTGGAATTAGTAATATTATCTGAGGAAGAGAGTGAGGCCTCTTTCTCTTGTCTTTCTGTAGTGATTTGAAATTCAAACTCCCTGATTATGTTAAAGACTGTTCTTAGTTAAGTGATGCCAAGCCTACTTCATCTTTCCAGCCAAAAAATATAAAAGGATGCCTAGGGTGTAACAGTGTGCATAATTAAATAATAATAAAAGAAAACTTTTTGCCTTCTTTTCCACTTTTATACCAAGGATTTTTTTTTTTTTTTGGAGTTTTTTTTTTTTTTTTTCATCTTTTTCCCCTTTCTCAGCCTTTATCATATCGGAGCCAATTTTCTTGACTTAGCTGTTGACAGAACACCACATTCTGACATGAATCTTTCAGCTACCAGTGAATGTTCACCCCTAAAGATTCCATCAAGTTCATAAGTCTAGATTATCCTGGAATGCCTCTGAATTGTAGAATGGAGAATGGAATTGAGTCTGGTCCTTAGGACCACTTGAGGACTATCCAGCAAATTCAGAACCTAGTAAAGGCCTACTGAAGCCATCCCCAAACTGCCCTGGATGTCCTAGGGGTCTTTCAGAACAGAGAGGAGCTAAAGCAGTGTTAGATGGATACATTCTCACGGGCCAAAATGAACTTTAATTTCCATGAAACTACATAAGTATCCTTTACCAACACGTTATGCCTGGTACTTAAGCTTTTTGATGAGAGCATGTAGGACTCATCCTTGTTCATTTTAATAATATTTCAGATGATAGTTATGAAAATGCCTGGACTAAAACCAAGTTCATGTTTATAGGAATGACCAGAAGAGTGGATGATAACCTCGGGACAAATCCAGAAGCTTATGCTGAATATTTAGTGTTAGATTATTGTTTAAAAACTATTGGACATCCAGATAATTTCTAGAGTTATGCAGTCTCCATTGAATATAAGATTGGGATGTCTGGCTTAGTTCCACTTTCTTGTCAGTTCATAGCTCATCTTGCACTTAAAAAATAATTATGGCTCAAGTAAGTATCAGTCTAGAAATTCCAGAGGAGCTGGTCTCTTTGGTCCTTAGTAAGAGGCAAAGTCCCTATCCATGATTTATCCCTGGAGAAAAAAAATAATGGTTTTCATGAGGAAATGATAATCAAGTATCTTCAGAAAGAACATAATTTCCACTCATTCTCAGTATAAGCCATGAGATAGATATAGATGATAGATATAGATATAGATATAGATATAGGTATCCTATTCAATTAAGAAAGCCTAATACATAGGAAATATTTTAGAAATATGTTCTGGAATATTGATATGTAATGATACTGTGATTGCTTGATGCCTTGATTCAAAATAGGTAAGTATATTCTTTCTCTTATGAGAGGCAGAACTCAATATTGCTTTGGTCTTCTTTTCTGAATGCTGATAAGCAATCAGTGTATTTCTGCAGGCTTAGTGATGACATGTATCTGAGAACTAATCCTAAGAATTTTAAAAGTCTCTGGTGTCACCTTGGCCATTATCTGCCTTTAGAGCAAAATCTGGGTCTATGATGGAGGCAATATTCTACTCACTCAGAGGCTGGTATTCTTCAGAGCAAAGCAGAGTATTTGCATACTTCTAGTGTAGCTATGCTTTAATATGATAGGCTGACTTGTATAAAGTATATGATAAAGGTGATCAAGTATGCCTTATCTATGCTGCAGAAACACATCTGGCCATCACTGCCCTCAAGAAAAATATCTCTCATAAAATGAGCTGGTGAGATTTTTGTAGTGCCAAAGCTAGTTCACCACCCTGTACATAGTCTACATCTGATTAAATTAGCAATGTGAAAATCTTGCAAGACTGCATTCCATTTCTGTTTCTGTTAAGAGGCTTTCTAGCTTGGTGGGCTGTGTTTGGTTACTCTATGAGCCTTAAGGAAAATAATTTCGTTCTTACTGATTGATATTTCAATACCAGGGAACTCACTAAATTGAATTACAAAATGGAGGAAGAGGGAGGTATAGGTAATGCACAGATTGCAGTAAATGGAATAGGTCAATTGAACATGAATAGGTAACATTCTCATATACAATTTCATTTTGGACATGTGTAGCTTTGTCCATCAAACTGTGCCTCTCTGTATTTTTTTATTGGTGTGTTTATTTATGAAGGAATTTTTCATTCCATAGGTACTGTGAACCCCTCTAAATGTGGCTGTCCCTTTGCCTTGAAGATGGCAGCGTGCCAGCTTCTCCTGGAGATCACTACCTTCCTGCGAGAAACCTTTTCTTGCTTGCCCAGACCACGCACTGAGCCGCTGGTGGTAAGTAAAGCACGGGTGTTAACAATCTGGCTACTCAGAGAGGCCAGACAAGTGGCAAGGGTTTGAGTATCCACAGTTCCCTCAAATGCCGAATTGCCACATGTATCATATAACTTTAAAAATTCAACCAAAGGATCTTCATATATAAAAATCTCTTTTCTTCTCTTACAAAAACAAAGAAACAAACAAAAACAACCCTCACAAAGAAAAATAATAACTCTGAAGTTGACCTTAAAATTACTGAAGATAGCACCACTGGATAAAACATTAGACTGATCACTGTCAGTCATGCTAGGAATGTCTAAGAACATTTGCACCAAGAAGAGATCTTAGAGCTAGCCATCTGGGAGACACAGAGTCCATGGAAATGAAGAGTGTGCTCCAAATTGGAATTGTGAGCAGGATTCTAAAGGTGAAAACCATAAGATTACATAACTTGTTTGAAAAGAATTATGATTGGTGCTGGCACAGTTTAAACTAACTAATACAGGATTGGCTATTTAGCTAACAGGTGTTACATGATCTCTATTTTAATCCAAAGTAGAAGGATGTGTTCCAGAAGGCAGTGGAGTTGCAGTCGATAAGTGGCAATTTACAAAAGTAAGAGCTTCATGGTGTTCTGAGACGTGAAACAGGAGACGTACATAGGCCCTACTTCCTCAATATCCTTTGGTCTCTATTTTGAGTGACTCTCTTAGCAATGCTTACTTCCTTGTGAATCTTCTCTCATATGGCTTTAGGTTCCTTTACTCTGCAAACTATGCGGAGTTTTACGGCCAGCATTTTTTAGAAATTACTGACAGGATTTTTTTGTCACAAAAATTTAACAGCTCATAAATCCATATAGAAATGTGCTTCCAGTGAATTTTCTCATTTAAGTTATGGGCAGAAAGACTTAAGTATTTAGCATGTAAACATCTCTAAACATATATTTTTATTCCTGTCATACTTCGTACAGGTACAAATAGGCAGAAGACCACGTACACACACGCACGCATCCACACACCCATACTCCTGCACCCACCAAGGCCTGATTTGTTTAGCAGAGTATACCAACACTCTGCAAAGGCCAGGCGTCTTCACAGAGTGTGTGGGATGGACACACCTCAGAGCCGATTTTCCTTGGCCCATGGTCCTCTAAGAGGCACCAACTCTCCAGTGGTTCTTCCATTACGGACAACATCCAGCCAGAGCTGAGAAACCAGACAAATTCTTTATTTTCCCCTTACACAAGACTTAGACTGCTCTACCAGAAAAAGTGTTACACAATCTATGCACTTCTATTTTTGCCATTTTAATGGTCCACCAGCTCTCCTGCTTTTTTAACCACGCTAGGCATGAACAAAGCCGTACCTCAATACCTGGGGAGAAACAAAAGAATCGATGCAATTTCCCCGAGCACTGCCTCTACCTCTGGTCTTCCAACATTTGGAAGACTTGTTCCCTCACACTCTAAAACATAAATTGGGTATTTTCAAGTTGGAAACATTTGTGGGTAAAATGTATGTTTTCAAGAGAAACATACTGGAATTTGGACTGTGAAACTACATTATTTGCTGTGAAAAAGGGAAGTTTCTCCTATTGTTCTTATTCCATTTTCCTATTAACCTGGGCTTTTAATTTTCTGAATGTTTCCTTTACTATTATATTGAGACTACTCTATAAAATCAGCTCAAGGCCAACACATGGGTTTAAAATCAAGTGGAATGAAATAACTGATCTGTAATAATATCTCTATTAGTGCCATTTTGTACATTCTAATTATACTGAAACCTTCATAAAAGCACTCATCTACTTTTCATATTTCAAATTTTTATTTGATCACCATTCTGATCCATTGTGATTTAAAAAAAATAAGAGTCTTAAAGTTTGATTCAGTTATTTTTGTTCTCCATTTCAATTCCATAAAGCTAGATTTTAATGTCCCTTATTATTACAGTGAATTTCATTTAAAAAATCTATCAAAACTTTTAAAAATTACTAAAAATTACTGTAGAACCAACAGGCAGACTAGTGGAAAATGGCAAGAAATTAAGCTAAAACAGAGCCTTCAGTCATTCAGTCAAGGCGAGGGAACTGTTCACGGCTGCATCACCTTTAACAAGGCCTTAGAGATCCTTCATTCATTACATTGGGATTTTTATTGTCCAGGGTAGGTACGCATTATATTGTGATGTGACCTTTATAAAGTAAATAGGAAGCTTTTTCTCATGTTTAAGCTAACTTTAGTTGATGGGGAAAGAAAAACAACCCATACACATACACCTTGAGTTATATTCAAACCTACTATAAACAGTGAGTTTAATGAAACTGTTTTACCAACACAAAACCTGTAAATGCGGCAGTTGTTCTTTAAGAAATTGTACTAAACAGTGAGTCTAACAATTTAAGCATAAAGACCATCAAAATGAACTATTATAAAGTTTTAACAAAACGCTTCCTGCAAGGGTAGCTACAGATCTTGAAAACAATTTTTTAGTTCAGTAACATTTTTAATAACAGTAAAAATAATAGCTATCCTAATGTTCAAAATAACAAAAGTATAAGGTAACAAAATAATCACAGTAGAAGCTATAGATATTCTAGAATCTGTGGTTTGAGGATGGAAGAAAATCAGGGATGTAAACTTTCTATTAAGAGAAAAAGTCTTTCTGGCAGAAATTGCCATAACACCCTTTCCAAAACGGATGAGATTTTTCAGGTGAAATTTCTGTTTGAAAATGTCCTAGTTACAACCAAAATGAAGAAGAGAAAGCAAAAGAACCAAAAATACAATAATTTAAACAAAAGTTAATTAGTTTAACTACAGTTGTTTCTTGGATAGGGTCAGGAAATCTCAGGAGGCCACTCACTGGATTGGTTGGGGGATGGAGGTAAAAGAAAAGGCAAAATGATATTGAAAGATTTTATAAGTTGATAAAAAAATAATTTTACCAACCTAAAATTTTTTCCCCAGATCCCTAGATGCCACTTAAATAATGTGCTTTTTTTAAAGAGCTTCTGGTAATATATTTATTCAAGGTTTTCATAAACCATACTAATAAATAATGTATTTTAAAAAGGAAAAAGCATTTTACAGGATTTATAATCTAAAATAACATAATAATCAAATCTTTTTTTTTAAATATTAACTTCCAAATTTGAGAACAATAAAGAAATAACAGAGATAATTTTGTTCATAAAATTGCTGGTCTATTCTAATGTTTACCAATTGAATTAGTAAAATCAATAACCAGTGGCCAAACAACTTGAATTAAAACAAGTAATTGCCATCCAATGGATAGATGAGTCTACAATAATAAACCTTGAGGAAGTCTGTTGTCTACATTCATTCATTAGAGAAAGCAACATATTGGATCCTTTGGTGAAAGACTGTGCTGGGACTATACCAAATATGCTGATGGACTTAAACAAATCAGGTTATAAAAAAACATATTGCTGGATTCCAAATGTTCCTAAAGTTAAATAATTAGAAGCACACAATTTACATATACCAAGACTAACTGATGAATATTTATTGGGAGGAAGACTATGAACAAAAGGTGGTTAGAGAAGTTAGAGAAGAGGGGGTGATACAGAAATAAATATATTGAAACAGGAGAACCAACACCTAAAAAATTACTTCCTGGTGTGAAATATAAGAGTGGCCCTGAGAAGGAGGCAGAAGGGCCGTGGTTGACCAAAGAAGCTGCTGGAAAAAACTGAAGAATCTTTCTGTAAGAAGCCACATTTGAATATAGCTTTGAAAGAGAGATGGGATTTTGACAAACGGATAAAAGAAGACATTAGAAGAATCGTAGTTGTTATATTATTTTTTATCCCAAGTAAGAAATTTATATAATTAAGTTTGGTTAACAAAATATAAAGTATTTTAGGTTTTCTACTTTTTTCTAAAAGGAATTAATTTCAGGGGAACAACTGTATTCCTAGAATATTTTTTGACAATGGTAAATGCATTCCATGTAGGACCTTTATTTTCAAGATGTGATCTAATTTTCTGGTACCAAAGTATAATGTCTCTTCTTAATTAAAAGGAAAAGAAGAAACACTGTGTAAAGTCTAAAGTTTCATTTATTAGGGGCACCTGGGTGCCACCATTGGTTAAGTGTCGGATTCCTGGTTTGGGTTTAAGTCATGATCTTAGGGTTGTGAGATTGAGCTCCACATCAGGGTCTGCACTTAGCACAGAGTCTGCTTGGGATTCTCTCTCCCTCTCCATCTAACCCTCCTGCTTGTGTTCTTTCTCTCTCTCTCTGTCCAATAAATAAATCTTTTTTGAAAAAGTTTCATTTATTAATAACAATTAAAAACATAAATTTTCTATCTTGGTACAAAATGGGCTTTTAAAAAATGTTTTTGTTTTCCATATCTATATGAATCTGAGGACTTAGGTCATATTTAGGAAAAATGCTCTATAGAAATAAAATCAGCATTTTATATATTTTCCCTTTATCAGGTCCTCCAAAATTGTTTTACAGATTTACAGATATGATCTTCTGATTGAATAAATCTGCATTCACAGAATAGGTCCGTTTTCAATTTGGGGCCTCATTGACCAAACTCCAACCAAACACATTCCCTCTCCAAGGCTTACATTAGGGTATGGGTTCACACTGTTCATAAGCATATAGTCATGGGACTCCTCTTGTACTTCTGGAAGGAAGGAAGCAGTTCCTCCAATGCCTGGTCATATTTTGAGCCTCTGGACCTCACATATGAAACTTTTTTTTTTAATTGTGTTATGTTAGTCACACCATATACATATGAAACTTCTTAAGTCTGAACTGCCCATTTCCACTTGTTTGCTGAGCTACCTTTAAATACTCACAACAAAACTCCAATATCACTTCTTTACTCATTTTCTATTTATGCAGAAGTTTAGCTACTTAAAACAGCAGAAACATACTACCTTACAGTTCTAGAAATCAGAAGTCTGACAAGAGTTTCACTGAGCTAGGGTCAAAGTTATCAAGAAAACTGTACTCCTTTCTGGGACACTAGAGAAGACTCTGTTTCCTTGCCTTTTTTTCCATCTTGCTGGGCAACCCACATTCCTTGGCTCATGGTCCCTTTTTCCGTCTTCAAAGCCAGTAATTTGATATCTCTCTCATTCTTCTTCCATAGTTACATCTTCCTTTGATCACAGCCTGGAAAAGCTTTCTGCTTTAAGGATCTGTGTGATTAGGCTGGGCCCACTTGACTAATCCAGCAGAATTCCCATCTCAAGATCCTTAAGCTAAATCCACATGCACACAGTCCCTATTGCAATGTAAAAGTAACATATTTACCCATTCCTGGGGTGAGGGCATGGACCTCTTGGGAGCTGGGGGGCATTATTCTGCCTCCAAGTCTGATATTTAAGCTCCTATTCTGTCTCTCAGTAATACTCAATGTATGATCATTTAATAAACAGATAAATGCCAAAAATGCAGTTTAAACTGTGAACAAAGTGTTAAAAGGTGAGGAAGCTAATTCTAAACATTATTTTTATTTTATTTTATTTATTTATTTGACAGAGAGAGAGATCACAAGTAGGCAGAGAGGCAGGCAGAGAGAGAGGGAGAAGCAGGCTCCCTGCTGAGCAGAGAGCCTAATTCGGGGCTCGATCCCAGGACCCTGAGAACATGACCTGATCCAAAGGCAGAGGCTTAACCCACTGAGCCACCCAGGCACCCCGAGGAAGCTAATTCTAGATTTGAAACAAGGTGCGTGCTTTTCAAAGATAAAACATGAGGAAAAGGGAAAATCGATGAGTTAGGGAAGATTTTTTTTTTTTTTTTAATTCAAGAAACATCTTTCATGGCCACAATATGAAATTGGCATTATAGAAAGAGGTGTTTGGCTCTGTGCAAATTCGGCTGGGTGCAATTCAAAATGGAAGGAGGTTTTCCACAAGACCAATGCAGTGCTAAGGAGATGCCAACGTTCATGTACACCTTCCTCACTAACATTGCAGGACTTGGAGAGCTGTAGACTTCGTTTGGATCCTGAGTTGGACCGGCACAGATATGAGAGAAAGATCAGCTTTGCTGGGGTCCTGGATGAAAATGAAGACTCCAAAGATTCCCTCCACAGTAGTAGCCACACCCTCAAATCAGATGCAGGGGCCGAGGAGAAGAAAGGTATGGAAAAACAAGAATTCTTTCAGTGTCTCTCATAGGATATTTGGCCTGGGATCCACACTATAGATTTATATACCTAAAGAAGTCCAAAACTGTTGGCTACATACAGTACTGTGTCCACTTAATGAGGTAGGAAACCTTGTTAGTTATGAGCTGGACACGACAGTCTGAAAAGTTTCCGGGTCTAATTCCAGCTCACCAACTCTCCATATCCCACTGATGCCATTGGTTACTTGTCAGATGAACCATTATTTCACATGCCAATAAGAAAGAAAAAATACTTCCCATTCAGCCCATATGCAATAGCTTCTAATCATTTAGTCTGTTTCATTCTTATTGAAAGAGGACTTTCAGACTTAATTAGATGCAGATTTTAATTACCCATACATATCATTCTTGTGCAGCCAAAAGAAGGGAATATATAAATAGAATAAACTGGTTAAAGTTTTTCTAAATGATCTTCAATTCCAGGTTCAAATTTATTAATCATTTTTCAACTCAGCATTGTCAGTGTCCATGTTTTCCTCTAGAATAACGCCCTTTGTGCTGTTAGACTGTCCGCACTACGTCATTTCTTAAATGAATCTGTAAAATAAAGATGGAAATACTTGTATGAAGCTAGCCTACCCTCACACTCACTCACTGCTTTGAGAACATTGCCAAACACATGTGACTTACCACCTCGCACACTCCCTCACCCTATTTCCACTTGGCTCCTTGGAGCTAAGACACTGGCATCATTCTGCACATTTTGTTGCTGATGCTTTAGATGGTCACATGGACAGAAACAATAACAAATGTGTCACAATTGCTCTCTGGCACTAGTGATCCTAAGATGGCATCAATTTTAAGACAAATCTCAATTTCCGACGTGTTATAAATGTGAAAAAACTACATCTTACAATGGTAAGCTATAACAATGAGTTGTATGACCTTGTCCAAGTTACTTACCTTCTAAGCCACAGTTTTCTCCTCTTTCAAATTAGGTTAATGACACCTACAGCATTGTGATATTGAAAGCTTTCATTGAGATAATGTAAGCCAAGTATAAACATAGTACCTGGTACATAGTACCTCCTAAAAATTGGTATAAAATAAAGAATTGCTATTTGTTTATATCATGAGCCTATAGACTAGAACCCATGTGGAAAATTCTAAATATAAGTTAAAGATTACCAAGTTTTAAGTTGCTTTCAAGGACTCCTTAAAGTGTTAACTTCTCTATCGATATGGCTATTTCTTAAATCCCACTGCCCTTCAATGTTTTTCTAATGAATTTTGATTATAAGAACTTAAGTACATTTGTTAAGAGTCAAAGACAATTTAATGCATTTATGTATTTTCTGTTATCCTATAGAAAATGACTCAATTAATGTTGGATAACTGAAAGAATGAATGATTCCAGGAAGGAATAGCCCTAGATAGAGAAAATATAAAATCTTTAAGATCTTCTAAGGAATGGATGTACACTGGAAAAATTTTTTAATATTTTAAGGTCAGATTGTTGTCATAATATTTTTAAAATGCAAATAATCATTCTATTGTATTGAATTCATGGTGAAACAAGAGTTTATTAGCCAAGTCTTAACAATTTCTGACCATGAAGAATTGTCAAGTCAATATTTTTACAACTATTACTTTTTTAGATAACATTAACTGCATATGAAAAAATTACATTTTTAAACATATCCCAAGGAGATTTTTTTGCCAATTCAAAGTTATTATGCTAATTATTGCTTAAAGTAGCTGAAATAAGAATTCCTAATACAAAAATGGTTAAACTTAAAGCAGAGTAAATCCTACACCATCTAAAAAAATAAAACGTCAAATCAATTTTTTTTGTCAAATCAATTTTTAAGAATACTTTAATTTCATGACTATTGTTTATGCAAATTTCCTTTGATGTTCAAAAACACAAATGCTTAGTATATTTTCTCCTCATAAAACAGCTATGTTAATATATGAAAGTTGGTTAATAAATGAACAGAAAGGTGAAACTATAAATAAAATGAGAACATATTCATAAAATGTCCTTTATTGGTTGGCCAAAATCTTCTTGAAGATTCCTCAATATTCCTTAATCCTTTGATAAGTTGATACCAGCTGCTAAATCCAGGGGGACTCTCCTAAATGAGATTATTAAAATTTCATTTAAAATTTTATACCATCTGTTTTTATAAAAGCTAAAAATGTTATTCTTGAAATAAACAACCTGAGGACAATTCAGATTCTGCCAGGGAAAACAAATGTGAAATAATCCTTAAACTAAAAATGTCTGCCTAAAATCCCCAAGCAAGGTCTGCCACATCATTTTACCCACATTTCAAAAAACAAACTAAGACGGGTATTCCAAAATACAGACACCAAGATGTGTCTGATTATTCAATGATCATCTGTTGAGCACCTGCTGTATGCCAGGTCAGGTTCCCAGAGTTCAGCAATGAACAGGAAGAAATATTTCCCACATATATTTTAGCTTTTATTAGCTATTAGTTCATGATAGTGAGTAACGTTAAAGACTAGGCTTTCAAATAAAGACAAATGATATGAAGCAAAACAAACGAAGGTCAGGGAATTGGTAGTGACCTGGAATGGGAGGGATGTAGTCAGAGAAGGACCCCAAAAGTGGCAGGGAGCAGAGACCTAGATGAAATGAAGGGACCAGGCATGCCGAGTGCCGGGGGAGGAGTCTTCCAAGCAGACACAACAGTGGGAACTGGACTCTGATGCAGGAGTAAGCATGGAGCATCCCAAGAAGGGCAAAGAGGCCAACACACCGGCAGCAGAATGACTTGGAAGACCAGCAGGAAATGGGGTCAGATAGGTAGGCAAAGGGCAAATAGATAGAATCTGTAGCTATGGTTAGAAATTTAATTCTGTGTATGTCCGAGTGTTGTTGGTGGGTTTTGACTAGAAAGGTGAGATAATATGCGTATTTATGATTTATGTATTGAAAAGATGAGTCAAGCTGTGGGAGTAGGAGTTAGCAAGTGCTCTGAGGTAGTTACACGAGTCCAGGGAATAAGTAATGGAGCTTTTAAAATCCTAGGAAATTTCGAAGCGTAGAGCTAGCAGGACTTGCTAATGGAGACAATGTGAGGTGAAAGAAAAGAGAAAAAGATGTTTTATCCAATTTAGATGTATTCGTTTCACGTTCATACCGTATTCACTTTTTGTATTTCATGTTGTCATGGAGGTAAAAGCTGACACTCAGTGCTGCTTTTCAGGTTTTTAGGTGCAAAATCAAATCTGATTTCTAACTGCTGTGCCTTTTGTAAATAATCAATGTCATAATTCTGAACACTGATTTTAGCCCAACAGTATATGTCCAATTATCTTTGGTAGTAGACTAGGTTCTCAAAATTGAATTTAATTCAAGTCACATTAATTTGGGGTTACTTTCCCAAATTTTTATGGTTAAAGGTATCATGAAATCAGGCAAAGAGTGCAAGAGAGTATCTGTTAAAAAAAAAAAAAAAGGAAGAAACCTCTCAAACTTTTTTTCTGTTTTCCAGTCTATCTAGACATGAGATTGCATTAGTAGTCATTAAAAAATGATACTATCCTATTTCAGATGTATATCAGGTAGGTCATTAAAGCCTCGATTAAGCCTAAAAATAATATTGAAAAATGCAGCAGCTGAATTTTGTGCTATAATTTAAATGGAGCATGATAGTCTATAGTCTTTGTGGAATTTATCTGGCCGGGCTGCAAGAATTTCTCTCCAGCTGTAAAATTATGTCCAGATGTGTTCAGGGAGCTCCCTGAGGACTTCACCAGCTCCATGGTGATGATTTTAAGCTTTCCCAATCACAAGAGTAAATCAGAGATTAAGCATTGCACGTTACTCAACAGGAATCCTTCTGGGCTCCTTTATATGGCATTGAAAGTATACATTTAATTATCATCTTGTAGCACTGCACCATCTCTCTCAGTCAAATACTCACTCTCCTATGAGTGAGAAACCCAAGACTAAAATGCAATTTTCCTGATTGGAAATTTTAAAAGTATTAATATCCATGCCTTAAATAATTCACAAGAAATCTTGTTCTGGTAAGAAGAGTATCTTACAAAAAAATAATGGCCCCTTCTTTTTAATGACTAAGCTCTGAAAATTTTTTATATCCTGGCCCTACCAAATCAATGTGTGACAACACCAAGTCTCCAAAGGAGGAGGATGTAGGAGTGTAAATGACTATGGGAAATAAAGATACTTTTGGAAAAAAAAAAAAAAAGTAGTTTCAAGTTTAAACATGTTTCTTTTACCCTTTTATTTTCCTCACTGATGACTGTTTTTTCCAGAACACTAAAGATGAATAATGCATGTTCTTCATGGTACATATAGACTGTAAGGTTGGCTCAGGGTGTTGCAACATTTGGACTCACATCCCACCCAGCCTTTTGCCTGAAAGAAGGATGCTATGACATCACTAGGTGCACTGAAAATGGAACTGTTTCACACTCATGTTCACCCAAAGCACACCAGTGAAAACAGATCCTTTAGTGCCATTGCTGAGGAGCTGAGCGGAACCCACTGCTGACTGTTGGAGAGAGAAGAGCCTCTTGTTTTTATTTCCTTAATGAGGTATTCCAAAATGAAGGGGTTTACATGAAGGGGTTTGCATAACTCCCATAATTCTGCAAGTCCCATTTCAAAAGAAAGACAAAAACAAATGGTTTGTGGTTCTGTTGAATCGAGTAATTATGTTATAATAATATACTAACAGTCCGAGATCATGCTGCTACAAGGGGACACTCATGCTTGTGAACCCTGGGCCGGAAAGAGAGCAGGTTGTTCCCAGCACTGATGAGCTATGTGTCCAAGAAAGAAGCTGTACCAGCCCTTCCTGGTGGACCCAGCATCCTGCCTGCCTAACAAAGCTGCCCGACAGGGGGTTGGGGAGAAGCTCCTTGTCCAGACATGCTGCTCATCCCGGCCAACAGAGAGGAGGCTGTTCAGGGACAAGTTGGGGAGAGCTTGGATCTAACACTGGCTGGGGAAAACTAAGGAGGAAAAAGCCCTATTTTATTCTTTCAATACAGTTCCCAGCAGGAAGATCAGGATAGGAGGTTCCCGCCTGCTCCAGATTAAAGGAACCCGCAGTTTCCAGGTGAAGAAGGGGGGTTCCTTGTCCAGCATTCGCCGGGTCGGCAGCTTAAAGAGCAGCAAGTTACCACGGCAGGACTCAGAGTCCGAGGCTGAGGAGCTGCAGCTGTCCCAGAGCAGGGACACTGTCACTGACCTAGGTAACATAGAGGAGTGGGGTGCACAGGGACGTGGGGGGTAGGAAGACAGGGCCTGAGTCTCGAAGGGGCTGAAGCCCATTTTCTGACACATCAGGAGCTGGAGAGCAGGGCCACAGGCTAGACCACACATTCAGTCTGCAAACCATACCATCCTTTAGAGCAGGGCTTAAAGGATGCTAGATGTTAGAGTTTAAACCTTAACACGCACACAGGTCATCTGAAATTTTGCAAGATGCACATTCTAATTGGGCAAGGTCTGGGGTGGGAGCCTCTGACAAGTTTTCTGGTGAAGCTAAACCTGCTGTTTCAAGGGCCACAGTTTGAGGAGTGAGAAGAGAGAGCTTACATTAGGGAAAGAAAACACTTAAACAGCAGGACAGTTTTTTGAAATCCAGATGTTTGTGCATCCATTCTTATGATGAGGGCCTTGAGAGCAAAATGTAGAAATTCCCTTGGGGGCAGCTAGCTAAAGGTCCTCTGTGTTTTAAAATCTCTTTCACAGTAAAAAGAACAAAAGTCTCAGAGAGGAGAGATGGATGGCAAGACCTGACAGTGACCTTCGGGAAGTCAGTTAATGTCTCAGGGGTTTGTTTTCTCCAACTATTCAGTGGGAATAATTCTATTTCTTCCTCGCCCACCCTGAAAGGATGCTCTGAAGATGAATTAAGGGTTGATTATAAAGTATGTTAAGTACCTGAGCATGAGCTCTGTATACTATCAAAGCATTGGAGGTGAAGGCTGTCCCTGTAGGATCCAAAGAGACTCTTGAATCTCTAAAAGTGTTAGTCCGATGAGTCTGATGGTCATCTTACTAGCAAGAAAAAGAGTATGCAAGTATGCAACAGGACTCACCAGCTGCCTGGGATTTAGCTACCAGGGAGAAGTTAAAGTTCATTTTCTTTGCCATTCTGTGCCTGTGCGAGGAGCAAAATAGAAAAGTCTCCCTTCATGGCAAGTTGTTTCAGAAGTGAGTCAGTAAACGCAGATAAATTATCAATCAAGTCTACTGAAATAGAAGCTAAGTATATCTAATTAAAGAGAGTCTAAAATGGGAAGTATTTCTACACCTATCCACCCTCACCTTTGAAAATAACTAATTTATGCATTAGGTAAGGTTCAGGTTATTTTGGGAGAGAATAGGAAAAAAAAAAAACGTGACTTCTTTTGTTGCAAGTCTGAAGTTGTAAGAATGTCAACAGTTAGTTTTGGGGGAAAATATTTCAATTAATTATTTGAATTGGTTAGTTCAGCTTGACCAGATGAATCAAAATAGGCAGCCCAGAGGCATGGTTTTGTCACAGACATGACCAGGAAAGCTTTTAGATTTGAGGGCAAAGCTTTCTTCTATGGTAGATAATGTAGTGAATTCCTGAGAGAGATGTCTCCAGACTTTTCCACAGAGAAGAGTTTAGACAAAAGGATTGTCAAGGATTGTCCACGATTGACCACAGTTGCTTATAAATTCCCTTAGTTTTTTGTGGGGTTTTTTTTGTGGGTTTTTTTGTTTTGTTTTGTTTTTTTTGAGGGACCATCCTTTTTTTTTATCTAGCTCTAAATGGAGAACTTAGGGGGTGTTGAGAGCATGACACTAGCCTTAGTCACAGCAGCAGAAGAGACAGCAGTACAGTTACGGCCACTGCAGGTTGCTTGGTATCCCTACTTAACTACACCTGCAAGGTCTGGGCAGTCTGGAGTGGATTTGGGCACACATAATTGATAACTTGCTCATCTCAGCAATTCAAGGACTTGACTCTGTTTCTTCTTGGCTCCCATGTCTCAAAATGGAAGCCACCATAACAGAGATCATAAATGTCTTTGCAATTGCCTGTTCATCTGGTGGTGAAGGGAACAGCTCCTATTAACATTCCTCCACTAAAGTCAGTGCTATGCCCTGTTAACATACTGGGCCATGGTAGTCTGCCCTAGGATTCAAAAGCATGGGCAACTCTACCATACCAACATGCTCTCCAGGGAAACCAAACAATATAACCTTTCTTGGCATTTTTTTTTTTGAAGAAGGGAGTCCTTGGAGTGCAAGTGAGCCCAGCATCGAGCCAGAGGGAATGAGTACTGCTGGCACAGAAGAAAATTACCACAGGAGCATGTCATGGCTTCATGTAAGTAGGAATCCCAGAAATACCTGAGATCAATTTCTTTTGGCACTGAGAAAATCGATGGAGTGAGGACAAAAGAGTATACGAAAACCATCAATCCAATTTAGCCCCTAAGAAAAACTGTAGGCGGGGTGCCTGGGTGGCTCAGTGGGCTGGGCCTCTGCCTTTGGCGTAAGTCATGATACTGGAGTCCTGGGATCGAATCCCACATCGGGCTCTCTGCTCAGCGGGGAGCCTGCTTTCCCCTCCCTCTCTGCCTGCCTCTCTGCCTACTTGTGATCTCTCTCTCTCTCTGTGTCAAATAAATAAATAAATAATCTAAAGAAAGGAAGAAAGAAAGAAAGAAAGAAAGAAAGACCGACCGTAGGCCTCTACTTCAGCTGAACCTCTGAATTCTCACAGGATTGGTATTCTGTTGGATCGTATTCAGTTTAAGCTTAACTAAAACCAAAGTTTCTTTGTTATGGATGGCTTTTAGGTCAATGTAAGTCAGGGAAAACCCTGAGGGATCAGGTCAGGTTGGTGACCAAGACGGCCTAGGTACCACAGAAGAAGCATCACCATCAGGTTTCTACGGGTTACCACAAATGCTAAGAGCAAGGTCATGGCGTCAGCCTTGTGTCTGTATAGATCTGATTGTAAACCAGAACATGGAGATCTTAAGACAACAAAGGCTACACCTCAAAGGGCTCTTCAGAGGTCATAAGCAGGAGGGGATTTCATGGAAACTTTGGGCATGGATTAGAGTTGAAGGTTTGGGCTGGGCATGAGGAAAGAATGAGAAAGTTAAGGAAGCATAACATCAGATCCACACCTAGCAGAGTACTGCCTGCACTGTTACCCATCTTAGGTATGTTCCTTACCATCTCCTCTCATTTTCATCTGACTTCCTGGTAGGGTCAGGTAAGGGCTGGCTGGTACATGACCCTCCTCAGAGTTTACAGAGCTGTGTCTTCACAACTGGTTGACCCCCAGAACCTAATTTTGAGATTCTCTGAAGCTATTTTTAAAGTAAACTCTTTAGTGAAGTCCAACCTACATCTTGAAAAGCATAGAAAACCTATGTATACAGCTCAAAAATTTTTCACAAAGTGACAGTCTGTGTAACCACCAGCAGTTCAAGAACATTATCATACCTTAGAAGCCCTACACATGCCCTCTAATAGTCACTACCTTCTCCTAACAGTAACAACCATCCTAACTTCTAACACCATGGATTAGTTTTGTCTGTTTTTGAAATGCATATAATTGATATCTTATGTTATAGAGTGTGTTGTGTTATGATTCGTTTGGTTCATATAAGGGTAAATCCTCCAACTTTGTTCTTCCTCAAGGTGGCTTGGTCTTTGGCCATATTCACTTCCATTTAAAGTCACCTGTCAATTTTCTTTTCCTTTTTTTTTTTTTTTTTAAAGAGAACACAAGTGAGCAGGGGGTCGGGGGCAGAGGGATAGGGAGAGAGAGAGAGAGAGAGACTCTTTTTTTTTTTTTTTTTTTTGAGAGAGAGAATCTTAAGCAGGTTCCATACTTAGCATGGAGCCAAGTGTAGGGTTCGATCTCATAACCCTGAGATAATGATCTGAGCCAAAATCCAGAGTTGGATGCTTAACTGACTGAGCCACCCAGGTGCCTTCACCTATCAGTTTCTATTAAAAAGCTTTTAAATCATATAATCATAATCATAATCATTTATAAAATCATGTAAAGCCTCATATTGAATATAAGCATCATTTAATATTGAGGAATTGAGTTCTTTATTATATTGAATCTTCTAATGTATAAAGTGGTCTATCCCTCTATTAATTTATATCCCACCATTTAGATTTCCTTCAGTAATGCTTTTTAGTTTTCCTTGAAGTATTTGTGTAAGCCAGTGTTGTTTCTTTAAGTAGAAATCTTAATCTAAATGTTTCTTTGTAGGATGATTTTTATTATAAATTCAACATATGTAAGATGATTCAGACCATTCAGATTTTCTATTTCTTCTGGGAGCAGTTTGAGCAATTTATTTTTTTCCCCTAGGAATTTGTTAATTTAGTCCAAATATTTATATTTATTAGCAAAAAGGTGTTTATAATGTTCTCTTAAAATCCTTTTGAATTCTGTAGGATCTACAATGATGTACCTTTATTATTTCCAGTGTTCATGGGTTATATCTTTTCTTTCTTTTTTTAAATCAGTCTTGCCACAAGTACCTCAGTTTTATTAACCAGAAAATCAGCTTTTGGTTTGTCATTCGGGGAATATTTGATTTCTGTTTTGTTAATTTCTCCTATTACCTTTATTAATTCCTTCTACTTTCTTTGAGTTTAACATGTATTCTTTCCCTAATTTCTTTTTTTTTTTTTTTAAAGATTTTATTTATTTATTTGACAGAGAGAGATCACAAGTAGACGGAGAGGCAGGCAGAGAGAGAGAGAGAGAGAGAGAGAGAGAGAGGGAAGCAGGCTCCCTGCTGAGCAGAGAGCCCGACGCGGGACTTGATCCCAGGACCCTGAGATCATGACCTGAGCCGAAGGCAGCGGCTTAACCCACTGAGCCACCCAGGCGCCCCCTAATTTCTTGATATAGATACTATATCAAGATTTATATTATATATAAAACTATAGATGTTCCTTGGGAAATTTAGTTGTATCATGCACTTGATACATCCTATGTTCATTACCATTCAGTTACAATATTCTTTAATTTTCATTTTGATCATACATATTTAAAAATCCATGACTGCTAACTCCAATATATGAATCTATTATATTCTTTTAGTCTGTTCCTTAATATGCCTAGTGATTTCATTGACTACCAGGTATGGTGGGTGAAAAACTGTAGAAGCACAATGATAATAATACATGCCATTATACATTTGTCAAAACTCATAGAATGTACAGCACCAAGAGCTAACTCCAATGTAAACTAGCACTTTGGATGATAGTAACATGTCGGTGTAGATTCATTGATTATAATAAACATACCACTCTGATGGAAGATGTTGATAATGAAGGTCACTGTGCATGTGTGGAGGCAAGGGGTGTTTGGGAGCTCTCTGTACAGTCTGCTCAATTTTGCTGTAAACCTAAAACTGCTCTAAAACAAAGACTATTAATTAACAAACAAAACATGGGATTATAGAGGTTCCCAATGATGCTATCTCCCTCCAGAGAGGATTCACCCTATACAGTAAAGATCACCAAGTCCTATCAAGGACGAAGTTGACTTGACTAGATGTATTGCTATCCACCCCCCCCCCACAGCCACCTCCCACTCTCCCAACACACACCTCCCAGTTGAAGCATTCCAAGGTTCCCAGTGAGAGTTTGGGTGTGCCCCCAGTCTTGATGGGTCAGAAACTCCAATTTTACTTCCTCATCACAGTGAAACTGCCAAAATCTCCATTCTGCTTGTCAGCTGGTTTCTGCTTGGCTGCTTAGTTACTCAATCAACAAATGCCTAGAAGGCAAGTGCCAAGTCTCATTTCTCCAAACTTCCCTTCTCTACTGTCCACTCAGTTCTTCCCGTTGGCAATTCTGAACTCCAATTTTGATCTTCCAGTTCTCATGAAATCGCCTAAAGCTTTGCCTGCCCCCTTGACTGCTTATGCCTGAAGGAGAAATGTGGCATGTACCCACACTGTGCTTACATCAGTCAACACCCTTTCCACATCTTGTCTTTCAAGTCCTGATTGCCTGGGTTAAATGCAATCTTATGCATTCAAATAAATATATTCAAATATATATATTAATGTAGTTGTGTGTATGTTAAATAACACACACTTATTAACTCATAGTTTCTATGGCTCAGGAATCCTGGCACAGTTTAGCTAGGCCCTCTGCTTCAGGCTCTCTCACAAGACACCAAAGTACTAGCTAGGACTGGGGTCTTATCTGAAAGCTTGACTGGGAAAGAATTTGCTTTCAAGCTCATGTGATTGTTGGTAGAATCTCAGTTACTCAAGAACTGTTGGACTGAGGGCCTCAATTTCTAGCTGGTTATTGGCCTGAGGCCACCCCTATTTCTTTGCTCTGTGAACCTTTCCAACATGGCAAACCCAATAAAAGAGAGTCTGGTAACAAGAGAGAAGTCAGCATCTTATGCAATCTAATCACAGAAGTAACATCTCCTCACCTTGCTGCATTCTGTTGGTTAGAAGTAAGTCACTAGGGCAGCCCATACTCAACAAGAAGTGGTTTCACAAAGTCATTAATACCAGAAGGTGGGATCATTGGGGAACATCTTAGAACTCTACCTAAAAGACATTCCTGCGCATAATTTTAAAAATACAGATTTCTAGGTCACCTCCACCCCAGATATTGTACCAAATCAGAATCTTTGTAAACTAAAGTCTGATCATATGGTCATTTGTGTGTTTATTTGGTTTTGGTTATTGTTGCTAAGTTTTCTCAGTATTTCTCTTTATCAGCCAGATATGAGAAAAACAAGGGAAACCTTACAGTTCTTATATGTACCCTCCCTTACATTGTATATGTATATACAGGAATAGCAGGGATGTTCACTGAATCTCAAGAGAGATCTGGATATTCTGCTCAGACAACACCTATTTTTTTTTAACTTTGAAGAGTGTGAGATATTGTTATCTGAGTTTGACAGAGTATAGAGTTGATTATTATTGTTATTTTTCTTTGCCTCAGAGTAAGCAGGTCCTCTTATTCTTGAGGAAGTATGTGGCAGCCCTGCGTAGTAGGTTTGATTGGCCTTGTCCACGTAGAATTACTTTATGTTCTCCATCCAGTATGGCACACAGTCTCTCACAGATTAGGTGTTGGGGTAGGAACTGGTTTCATGAAGGATGGATGCATTCAGAAGATTACTCTATGGATATTTAATTAGCCTTGTGGACACTAGAATACTGTTGCCTTTTTCAGAGGGCAACTTCAGAAGTTACAAACTCAAAGGTCTTCATTCCTTATCTTAAAAGAACCATATACTTTAAAACAACTGAGTTCTTGAATCCCACTTGGGAAATCTAGGTGATGGGAGGATTTGAGCCAGATCAAGCCCCAAGAGCTAGAGTGGCTGAAAAGCTGGAGAAAAATTAATTTGTAGAGAGGGGAAATGAAGCTCTATAGTCAGGTTCAGGCTCAGCTGAAGGTTATAGGCCAAGGTAGAAGAAGCAGAAGTGTTTTCAATTCCACATGGGTTGGCTGGAGTTAAAGATATCCCAGGACTGTCAAAGGCCAGCCAAATCCTTTGGCAGAGAATTTCTCACCAGTCACTGCTCTTCTACCTGACTCCTTCCACAACACACAAGCTGCAAAAATAAGGTGGTTTAAGTTTAGAATCTTCATTTGAAACTGTTGGGAAATCATAACGCTCCATTGTAATTGGTTTAAGCTTTTCGAGGTCACTTAACCTTTTCTTGTTCCAAAAATCTCCTTCTGTCAAGTGTGAATGGAGAGAGCCAAGAGGCCAAGTACATAAAGAGTTGTAACCCTTTGCTTTCCTGAGGGACTCAGTGACTCACCGTGGTGTCAACGCTGATGGCCTGGTTGAATCTCGGGAACGTGTGTGTTCCAGGTCATGATCTTGCTGTGCAATCAGCAGAGCTTCATCTGCACCCACGTCGACTACTGCCACCCTCACTGTTACCTGCACCACAGCCGCTCCTGCGCCCGGCTGGTCAGAGCCATCAAGCTGCTCTACGGAGACACCGTGGACTCCCTCCGGGAGAGTAACAGCAGCAGCAGTGTGGCTCTCCGGGGCAAGAAACAAAAAGAGGTGAGTGAACCATCACCTGGTTATATGCCTCTGATAGGGAAGATGATGTCCCAGCAATCTTCTCTCTGGAAATACAAATTTCGGTCCATCGCAGGTGTATAAACCAGGTTACAGATCTGTGTGATTTTGAACAAAGGTAGAAGGTGAACAAAGTAAGACAGGTGCTTTATCTTCGTATCCGTGAGCATACGTGGTATCTTTTCCCAGGTTTTGTTTTATTTCTGGGAATGAATATGCATTCATAGGGGTGTGGGTGATGAGTGGGTCATAGTGGTGGACAGAATAATGTCTCCCCAAGAGGTCTGTATTCTAATTTCTAGAACCTGTGAATAGGTTACCTTATGTGGCAAAAGGGATTTTGCCTGAGGGAATAAGGTAGGAATCTTTGAAAGGGGAAATTCCTCTGAATTATCCAAGTGGGATCATTGCCATCATGTAGGTCCTCATAAGTGATAAATGAGGAATGAGCATCAGAGTTAGAGAGGGAGGTGGGACACAGAGGCAGAGGTTAGAGTGATCCAGGGCCATAAGCTGCGGAATGGGACAGCCGCTAGAAGCTAGAAAGATGAAGAAATGGATGATTCCTTTGAGCCTCCAGAAGGAACCCAGCCCTGCCAATCCATTTTAGATCTGACCTCAAAAACCGTAAGATAATACATTTGTGTTATTTTGCACCACCAATTTTGTGGTAGTTTATTACAGCGGTAATAGGAAACTGACATGGTTTATCAGTTTCTTATTAAGGAATAAGTAATAAATGGCCCAATTGTTCACAGATAAATAATAGAGTAATCTAGGTCAAATCAGACCAAAGGAAACTCCTTAAAGAAACTCTTACATTTTCCAAGCATTCAGCTGCTTTTTCTTGACAAGTACACTGAACAGCTGAGCTGGCAGGAGATGAAGACGGTAACCAGGGCTGCCGTGGTCCTGCCGGGAAAGACTTGGGTCACCCACCTGCCCCAGAATAGGCATGATGGCCAAGACGCCTGGCCCCGTGCTGCTGGCTGCCCCTGCAGCTGCTCCTCACAAGTGGTTTTACAAAGAGATTTTGATATAATACCTATTCATTTCAGTGAGCATTCATTGTGCACCTGCTGTTGGTACTCTGGGAGAAGTAAAAAGTAAATAAGTAGAATTAGAGGATCCTTCCCCTAAGGAGTTTGCAAGCTGGGTTTGGGTGGGTGGAGGAAGGGTCATAAAATTCAAATCAAGCAACTGGAGAATATGAGCAATAACAAAAAATACACAGTTGAGTCATGCAGCAATTTGTAATGTTTTAGCACTCACAAAGGAATTTTTTTTTAATTATAATACAGTTCATTGAAGAAATTTGGGGTAGTACAAGAGATCCTAAAGAAAAAAAAAAACAACCCTGTATTTCATGCATAAGTGTGCTGTTTGCACACTTATGAAAGATCCAGGATAGGATCTTTCAGTATTTTTTTTTCAAAGCATATAAGTAAGGCTGTAACACAGGTATGTATCACTGACAAAGTGCTTTTTGATTCTTATAAACTTTGTGCAAGAGATACTGTACTCCTCATTTTACAAATGAAGAATTGGAGGCTCGGAAGGGTGGGACTGTCACAGTTCACATCTGTAACATACTTAGCTAGACTTTTATTTAGAAATATGGAATATCAAATCCAGAGCTTTTTTTTTTTTAAATCTCTATTAGAGTATAAGAGATACTCTATTGTATCTCATGGTATTCAGACTACACATAATCTGCGGGAAAATCTTGGGAATAGATCAATGTGGGTAACTTCCTGAACTGTTAATGATGTCATAAAAAGAAACATATAGGTACATATATCCATGTGTGTATATATGTATACAGATATGTAGATATATTTTTATTTAAGTAAAAACTCTCTTAGTTTTAGGAGAAAACCACGTATGTTGGAATTAATGTTCGTTGTTTACCATACATACTCTGAGATTTCTTACTGCTCCAACTATACCATCACCTGTAATCCATATCCATTTTAGTCTTTATCCTGTGAGTGGTGGCGAGCTCTGAGAGTTTTAAGATCAATCTGCCTGCAAAATGGGGCCCCTTATCTCCCTGCTTCTCCTCTGCCACTTAATTATAAACTTCCGGGGAAATCTTGCACACTGTTTCCTATGCGGTACCTGCCAGAGTTCCTCTCTTAGAGTGGAGGGACAGTAAGGATTGAACAGCCAGCCGAGTGGGCTGTCTAGTTTATGAGTGCCCTCTGCCCCTAGCCCACCAGGGATGCTGGCCGCAAGCAGCAGAAGAGGCTTGCCAACCTTAGGTATGCTTACAGTTTAGGAAGGCAAAGAGAAAGTAAAGCAAGAGTTAAGTGGCCTCTAATCTTAACATATTTAAATTAGTCATGCAGGTGAAGAGCTGAAAAAATGCATTGAGTCTGCTGCAATAAACATTTTATTTTCAAAATGCCAGCCTCCTGTGCAAGCTCTTTTTTGTTCTCTCATGATGTTTCCATTTCCTGGGCTGAATCTGTCACATAAATGAACAATGCCCACATTTCTAGGGCCAAACTGAAAATAGAGTAGGCAATAAATCAAGAATAAAAGCAGTGATTCTGATTAAAATTGAGCCTTATGAGCAATTGATATTTCATTCCTGTTTCCTTTTGAATTGGTTTTTATGGCAGAATATATTTGTGGCAGCTAGTACATTTTGTAACCCATGTAACTCTGATCAATCTGCTAATCTACATTTCAATGCTCAGAGACACACTGTACATCCTGTTAGTCTATTTTAGTGCACTTCCAAGCTTGAGGGGTTTTTATATACTATATATTACCTTCACCAAAATATTCTTTCATTTTTCCTTTATATATGTATCTTTTCCAATGCCATGTTCTAAACAGAGTAAATTTTCAGTTAGTGCTTCCTGATGAAAGAAAAGGAGTAGATAAAACAACTTTTTTTTCCTTTCACCCAAAAAGGTTAAAAGGGTACAAGGTGATACGTGCCTGAAAAAAAAGGGAACAGTGTCAGTAAATTCTGTGAAGCCAAAGCAAGTGGCAAGGGGCCAGCTGATTTCCTGCAGGACTAATGTTTTTTCCAAAGCTTTGGAAAACACTACTGTGAGACCAAAACCAGGCTGTAGGTCTTGATTTCATCTGCTAGAATGTCTCCCCATTCAAATTCACGTGTCAAAGATGTGTGAGGCCCAAAGGTCTAGGTTACCTTTGGGGAAATAATTAGACTTCTCTTGGCATGAAATATGTTTCCAGGAAGATCTCTTTCCCAGAGTGCTTGGTAAACTGACTCCAGTTTTCTCAATTTTATCCCTTTTTTTATTTTTTAAGATTTTATTATTTGAGAGAGAGCACACAAGAACATAAGCAGGGGAGGGACAGAGGGATAAGCAGACTCCCCACTAAGCAGGGAGCCCCAATGTGGGGGGCTCAATCCCAGGACCCAGAGATCATGACCTGAGCTGAAAGCAGACACTTAACTCACTGAGCCACCCAGGCACCCCCAGTTTCTTGAATTTTAAAATACCATATTATTTCCACAATGCTTCCTCATTCATGGCATTTGTCTACTTTTATGCTTACCATGATTTTTCATTTGCTTGTTTGTTATCCGTCTCTCTTAGTAAGATACGTTGTCCATGAGGGCAAACATCAAGGGAGTTTTGCTCCCCAGCAAATCCCCAAAGGTTAGCCCAGTTCCTGGCATTTGGTTAACTCATAAGAAACACTCTTGAATTACTAAATGAATAAATTAATTTTTTATTTAAAGTAATTATTATGTCTCTCTGGTCAATAATCTTAAATTGCAAGAAACCTACTGAAACTTGTTCAAATAATTAGTTTCTTCAAAGGACATAGCAGAATCTCATGAAACCAAGGACCAACCTAAAGAGCCAAGCTCCAAAGGAATGGGAACCAAAGCTGCTGTCCCTATCAGAATCAGCCTAATTTCTCACCTGTACTTCTTTCTGCATCTCCGTCTTCTTCCTCATCTCTGTCCCCTGACCAACAACTCCTGCTTTGTTCACCTTGTATGTGACCTGAAAATCTCTAGGTTGCATCATCATTTCTCAGTCCCAGCACCCATCACTACATGAATCAGACTCTGTGTCCCTTAATTCCATAGGACAGGAGTTTGGTGGACTCCATTCTTTCTCTTTGTGATCCAAACATCATTGGATAAAGCCCTGGTCAGTCAAAGGTCTGGTTTTGGATTACAAATTTGATCAACAGTGGTCAGAATGAGGAGAGAAGTCACAGAGCCAAATATGGTGAATGTATGTCCAAGACATACAGAAAGAAGAAAATGTCAGTGGTCCAAGGTCTACACCAGACCACAACAAGCATGCCCCAGGATCTCTGCCACTTCCTGGGGCTGTGTAGCTGCCTCCCATTGGTAGACTGACTCAATAATGAATGCCATCCTCTATTGGTGATACAGTCTGTCCTTTGGTCTTGGATTACTAGTCTTGGGTTTCTTTACATGTCCCAGCTTGATGTGTAATTCCAACCAGCATAGGCAACTCATAGTCCAATGAAATTTCTTACTCTTCCATGAAACACTAGTAACAAAAGATGCCTTCAGAACTAGCCTCCTCCTGCATCCAAGAATTAGTTCTCTTCTGGCCAAGTTTTACATCGAGTTATAAAAGCCAAAAAGCAACTGATATTAGGCTTGTCAGTCTGACTAGGGGTCACACCAGTAGAGGGACTTGAGGACTTTCACAGTGTATCCAAGTGCCAGTCACACAAGTATGCATCTTTGGTACCTATCTTTCAAGCCTCAACAAGTCACTCGAAGAATCACTAGCCCATCACCCTAGAGTGAAAGCCCTTCCCTTTCCTCTAACACAAGCTTCCTAACGATGATGAGGCACCAGAACACATCATGCATCCTAGGGAAGTATGCATGAATACCAAATGTTTGATATCTGAGAAGCTTGACATATACTTTCTGTCCCTAGTAAACGAGATTAAACAGAATCCTACATTCCCCAGAGTGTCAGAGGCAAACATGAATGTTCACCCTTTTTCTTCTAAGCTGGTATCTGCCTGATTAAAAAACCTATAATTTAACCAAGAGATATTGTTCAAAAGTAACCCTGAAAAAGATAAAATGTCCAGCCAGAGAAGAAAAGGTAAAATATTAACAAAATTTGAAAATCATATTTTAAATCCTATTTTGAAAATCTTATCTAGTTACCTGGGGAAATATCACAAGATCCTAATAAAATGAGTTGTTTAAAATTGTGCACTACATATAGGACATCCTCACCATTGTACTAAGACACACAAAATGAAAAAAAGTCTGAAAGGAACAAAATAACAGCTATCACTGGTTAAGGATTATAGGGGTTTCTGTTTTTTTCTTCCAAGTTTTTCTGTGTTTTCCAGCATTCTGAAATTTGCACATATAGTTTTATAAATAAAATAAGAGAGATGCCCCTTTTAAAATACCTTGACTTTTTAAAAAGGATGTCAAATACACACCTACATTTATATGGAAAATTATTGCCATGTGATTTTATTTTATTTCATTTTATTTTATTTTATTTTGCCATGTGATTTTAGAACAGATTCCAAGTTATAAAACAGGCGTGGGTCCTGCTGTATATTGTTTATACATTCACAGGAAAAAAAAAATGCAATGCATCATTGAGGTTTATCTCCTCAAATGATATGTGTTCCCAAGTATGTGCCTCCACATTTTTATCTTTAGAAAACACAGTAAGAGCTCAGATTCATTTTTTTCGAAGTAGATTCATTCTAAAAGTTCATTACATACCAGTCACTCACCAGATGCATTGTCTTGAGTCTTTTTGTCAGAGTTTTGAAAGACTTCCTTGGAACATTCGTGTACTTTTAGATTTGTCTTTTCTTTTCCAATATCTCCATCTATAACACTGTGAAGCTCTGTTCAAAATTCTTAAGGAGTTCCGTTTTTTCCTCAGCATTGAGGAAGAAAGTGTTTCATTGACACGGAACTGGAAAAACAAATGAGCGTTTATTCTGTGTGGAAGGATGGATTCCCTCTTTGCACAGCCCACAGTGCACAACTAGGGGAATCAAGACTCCGGATAAATAAACAACAGCCTGTCACCATTAGGACCGATCATTCTCTCAGCTGCTCTGTCCCCTCAATCCCTTGGCATTTAGGGAGTTGGAGGAAGAAAGCCATCTCCTCCGTGCTTATACAGAAGTCAGTTTTATTCTGGATCCTGGTTCAGGAAACAATCTGAAAAAAGAGCTACTGCCTCCTGTAGACCAGTGTGGTTTTGTTTTTTGTTTTTTGATGATTTGGGCTTTTTTAAGGAAACCATTTTACCTTACAACTCGGGCCTAGATAGTAAGTGCTCTGAACCTGTACTTTCTTGATGAGTCTTTTATTTTTTACTTCCTAACATTCTTTTAGCAAATATATTCTTTCTACTATGACCAAATGCCCAATGTGTATCATCCAATCCTGTAAAGGGGCTATGAGAGCCGGTTTTAACTGACTTAATTTTTAAAAAGATGTGTGTTTTTAACAGCTTCATGGAATATAACTTGCTCTGAAATGGAAATCAAAAGGTCCTCGTCCTTTTTGACTTCTGCTCACAGCCAGCTTTGTAACTTGGTCAAGGTATTCCGCTTCTTTGGACATCAGTTTCCATCATGGTAAAAGAGGAGTTTGTAGCCAAAGATCCCTGAGCTCCCTTTCATTCCAAAATTAATTGTTTTTACCACTTTCGGAAGGTATGGGCCTACAAGGCCTACATCATCCCTCCCATTAAATGAAGACAGTTGTTTGGAAAATTTGGGGGGAAACAGTGTTGCTGGCTTTCAAGAGAAGGCAACACTCTTCGTCACCTAGCTTATGTTCTTTGCAGTGTTCAGAGAAGTCATGCCTGCGGACACCTTCTCTGAAGAAGAGAGTTTCAGAGGCCAACCTGGAAGGGAAGAAGGACTCGGGAATGCTAAAATACATCAGACTGCAGGTACTGACAGCTGGATCAGAAACATTCATGGAGCTGTAATCAGGAGGGGGCGCCAGATAGCCCATTTACAATGCTCGAGACATCCAGTGCCGCTCAGCACAGTTAGCATGAAGACCCCTTTAATTGGTGGGGAAGAATGCCACCAAGGGTGCAAACCAAAATTCCCCTTCTTGTTAGCCAGCCAGCTTCCAAAGAGACACGGCTGGAACCATGCCTCCTCCCATTCTCCCAATTCCATGGAGCCAATCCCCACCAGCACGTGGTGGTAATGCTCACCACTCTTAGAATGTGACTTTCTGAGTTCAAATCCCACAGCTCCCGCTCTGGCTCTAGGACCTTGGATAAGTTGCTTAATTTCTCTTGGTCTTAGCTGCCTCATACATAAATAAGGTGGGGATTATAACACTAGGCCCATTTCAAAGGATTATTCCATGGATTACAAGAGATAGTACACTTATCTTCTTTAATTTCCTGGTTGACCCATTCATTCTTTAGTAGGATGCTCTTTAGCCTCCATGTTTTTGAGTTCTTTCCAATGTAGCTGAGTTATGGACACTGGGGAGGGTATGTGCTATGGTGAGTGCTGTGAATTGTGTAAGACTGATGATTCACAGACCTGTACCCCTGAAGCAAATAATACATTATATGTTAATTTTTTTAAAAAAGAGAGAGATAATACACTTATCTTCTTATCCAGTGCAAGACACATTGTTACATTGTTATTACAACCTAAGGTCTAAATCATTACACACATTCCCCAAGGTGGGAGAGGGGGTGCCTGTGAAAAATAACTTGTTTTTCTGGAAAGTTTTTTCTCTTTAAAGATTTATTTCTCTGTTTTAGAGAGAGAGAGAGAGAGAGAGAGAGAGACAGCAAGAGCAGGAGGGGCACAGGGAGAGAATTGCAAGCAGACTCCACACTGAGCACGGAGCCTGATGTGGGGCTCCATCTCACGACTACGAGATCATGACCTGAGCTAAAACCAAGAGTCTGTTACTTAACCAACTGTGCCACCCTGGTGCCCCTTCTGGAAAGTTTTCAAAATGGTTAAAGACCTAGACTGTCCACAACTTACACTGATCACCTGAATTATCTGAAATAATGGGGGCACCTGCATGACTCAGTGGTTGAGCATCTGACTTGGTTGTGGCTCAGGTTATGATCTCAGGGTCATGGGATTAAGCACTGCCTCAATCTCTGTGCTCAGTGGCTAGTCTGCTTGCAATTCTTTCTCTTTCCTTCTCCCCTTTCCCTGCTCACGCTCGAGCTCTCACTCTAAAATAAGTAAATAAAATTTTTAAAAAATAAATTATCTGAAATAAATAGGTTAAATAGGATTTTTGTGGCATAATCTAGGGCAATAACCACAATATACAATGTTTCAAAGGGACAATGTCATCCAGGTTTACTGGCTTAGAAAACTAACTCTCTGAATGGAACTCCCTTCTAAATTAGAAGCTGCTCATTGATTGCCGTGGGCCATTAGCTCCTAACAGAAAGGAAAACAGGATGCTTTAAAAGTCTACTAACACAAAGATATACTGGCTGGAGTCTTTCTTTTCTCTTAGAGCTTATTCTACAGTTTATTCCTTAGATAGCTGCAAGATATTTTTTGTGGTGAAAGCATGATAAAATTAGTATCTTTCATAGTTTCACATCGACAAATAAGATGTGAAGTTTATCATACACCATGCCAATAAATATGCCATCATTTTAGAAAGTATTTTAAGGTCATTTAAGAAAAGCAGGGAAGGGAAGTGGTACTTGGGTTTCACGAGGAGTACAGTAATCAGTGGCTTCCATGACTTTAAGATGTGATTTCCATCTTTTCCCAGGTGATGAGCCTGTCACCTGCTCCTTTATCTCTGCTAATCAAGGCAGCACCAATTCTGACAGAAGAGATGTATGGAGACATCCAGCCAGCTGCCTGGGAACTCCTGCTCAGCATGGATGAGCACATGGCCGGGGCAGCAGGTAAGAAAAGATCACCCATGACCCTGGTCGCCCCCAATCCCAATGTTTATGAAAGAAGTGTATCTATTCCCTTTCACTGCGAGGTCAGATCAACAGCAATTGCTAGAACCTTAGAGCCTTACACTCTAGGGAGGGAGGCTGAAGTGCTAAGCACACCCTTTACTTTTTACCCCATACTCTGCACAAAAGAGCATGTCTCTCGGAGGCCATTGCCAAATTATTAAAAAAAATTATTTTTCCCAGAACCTACATTTTCACTACATTTCACAAAAGAGAAATTCTTTTTGTGTGTTATGATTTCCCAGATTTACCGTGAACCACCATCATTAACTGTATTAAATCGTATACAAGTAATGTTTTATGTCCAAATTACAAGTAAAGTTTTATGTCCAAATTACAATGTCAAAACAAATCTGTTGCAATTTAGGTGACTTATCCAAAGCCACATAGCTAGTAAAAGGTACATGCAAAATGTGGGTTCTTCACCTTTTTCCACTTCTTGTATGTACTCTTTTAGTCATATGGAGTTGTTTTAATTGCAAAAATGTATGTAGTAGAAATTCAAACAATATAGAAGTGTATGAAGCTTAAAGTATTTTCTCTTCCCATGACTCTCAGTCACTCTCAGTGACAATTTTTAAGTTTTTCAGGAATCTTTCTAGGATCATACACACACACACACACACACACACACACACACACATATGTGTGTGTGTATATATATATATATATATATATATATATATATATGCCTAAGTACCAATGTATGTGTTATTTCCTTTTTCACACAAATAGGACATACCATAAAGACTTTTGAACTTTGCAGTTTTCTTTTATATCTAGAAGATTTTTTTTAAGAGCTTATGTGAAGAAAAATCTATCCAAACCAGGCAGCACCAAACTAGAAGTGCTTCAAAGCACTCCGCTAACAGGAGCTCAGGGAGAGGCTTTTGTAGAAAAAGGACAGAAGCAGAGTAAGGCACCTATTGACCGGCTATAGCTAAAAGCCTGGTTGACTGTTTGTGATTGGTTGTCCTTAGCACTATGATTTGTACCCTCGAGGCATTTCCAGGCTTAGATTTTTTTACCTTACACAGGTCACCACAGGATTAGAGCCACATCATGCCAATGGTCTCCTTATTTAATTAATTTAACAATTACCCCGTTTTGGTCATCCTCTTATACGTGAGAGATCATCCAAAAATTTGGTATTAGTGCCACTCTCAGGTATGATTTATGTTGCTTTTGTCTCATTGTGAAACTCATGGGTTATGATGTCAGATCCATAAAACAATTGTTTTTTTTTTGTTCATCTCATGTCCATCTTCTTTCTGCTTCTCTAAGCACAGTGTGACCATGTAATGTATGGTTGATGGTTGAGAACATGCATTTAAGATGATTGAGAGAACACAATGCACCAGGGAAACTACAATGACAACTATTAGGAATTAATGCCAAGAGACTGAAGGATGCTTCTCAGCCAGGGTCCCATGAACCAAACCAGCTGTCATCAAATATAGCAAAGAATATACCGGTTCTATCCAGGAAGCTTATTTGTTAATTTCTTATATTTGGTACAATACCAGAGGTTTTGATCTAGGTGCCACAAGGAGTATTTTACTATCACACAGCAGATTCTGTGCTCAGTTGAGAAGTAAAGCAATTCTACTATCTAAAACCAATTAGCAAGGAAATATAGATATTTTGTTGTACAACTAGGGCCTTAGCAGTAGATCCAGCCATAGTTGCCAGGGTTAAGGAGCACTGTCTCTCCTGCTCATTAACAAAAAGAAAAGCAAATAGCAAAAAGGCAACAATAATGAAGATTTAATATTGGAGATGGTGCTCTTGCTCTGTGACCTTGGGAGAGCTGTCCCCAAGATGCCATCTGCATCTGAGGAGGAACCTCCCTAGTCAATTTTAATTTTAGATCTCCAGATGGTGTGCACTTCCAAGAGTTCAGAGGACCTCTTTCTAATGAGGGATGTAGACCTACCATTTAAGTCCCTGAAGTTTGGCTGCCATCTGGGTAGTAAGGAGGAGTTGGTATTATCCCTTCCAAGAATGTTCAAGGGCAGTCTTTGTTCTTAGTGATTCCAAATCAGAAGGTGGGAAATATTAGTTTGGTGAATTGTAACCAGATATTTGAGGAACTAGAAGAATTCAAGATCCAATTGGGTGTACAGATAAATAACAAAATGTCAAAAATGATGAACAGGACTAAAATCTGATATCCACAAGTATTACAATTTTTTACTGAAACACATTTTTTTTTTCTCTCACTCACTCACACTCATTTTGATCAAAGATAATCATAGGAATGCTGATTTGTTTGCAAAAATAAGTCTAGTCTCATTAAACATGGCCTGATTATTTATATAAGTACAGTAGGAATAGTGATTGATTCTATAGGCATTTTTCAAGTCTGTTTTGCTGAAGCTTTTTTTTTTTTTTTAAAGATTTTATTTATTTGACAGAAAGAGGGATCACAAGTAGGCAGAGAAGCAGGCAGAGAGAGAGGGGGAAGCAGGCTTTCTGCTGAACAGAGAGCCGGATGTGGGGCTCGATCCCAGGACCCTGGGATCATGACCCGAGCTGAAGGCAGAGGCTTTAACCCACTGAGCCACCCAGGCGCCCCTGCTGAAGCTTTTTATAAGGAATCTTAGATTGAACTTTTTAAAAACCTCTCTAGGCAAAGAAACCAAGTGAAGAACTCACCATCAGATTTCACCTAAAATATGTATAGATTTGGCTAAATTCCTCTTTTCTTGAGGTCCCCAGGATATCTTCACTTTCTTGGGCCTGCCAGGAAATGGCCTTCCTTAGTCACCTGATAAGGCTGCTGGGAATCCTGTAAGCAAAATACCAGGCCAGTTTTTCCAATGCATTTTTGTTGGCTCCATAAAGTCAACCTTAGTCCCTTCAAACAGTCTGGTCTTATCCGATTTTATGCATCTTCTCAAATGGAACATTCCAGTCAAAGCCTTGGTAATAAAACCAATGTTTCCAGTTTTCCCCTGTTATTCAAAAACAGGTTCTTATTGAACTTATGCAAATAACTATATTGCCATGAAAATAAGAATACTCACTGAATTTCTGAATTCTGGAGGAATCAGGTAAGAAGAAAAAGTAAATGTTTCCATTTTATTTATAGTGATATACTTTGTAAAATTACTGTAAATCATAGATAGCTTAAGAGAAAAGAGAAAAAAACATTCCCATAAATCTGGAAAAATAAAACATTAAGGAACCAGCAATGTTTCAAAGAAAAAGAGTTAAAAAAATTATAATCACCTTCATCAGTCCACTCAATCTCATATCATTAATTCTTGTTCTATTTGAGTCATTTTTTCCATTTCCTGGAAATTCTTAACCAGTTCAATTTTATGACATTACCATGAATCTTTCTGAAGATGAAGCACTTTATAAAAGCATCAGAGTAAAACAGTAACTGTCTGTAAATAGAAAGACCTTTAGAAAAGTAGCCATGATTAAAGATCTGATGAAAGTTCATTATAAAGAAACATAGTTATGTCTGTGGTACACAATAATTTAGGATAATAATTGGATGAGAGTATTGACAACTTTCTAGAAACTTGGAACCATTTCTGGAATACCCATATTAATAATATATTTCCATACACCTATAACTTCAGAAGTTTATTGTCAATTCTCACTTGACAGTGCTCCCACATAATTTAACACATCAAATAAACCTAGTTTAACATCTCTCTTACAGGGTGAGAGGCAAATTCTTTGAGGTTTTCTAGGGACCCTCTGGGAAAACTCAGTTACTTCGAAATCAAAGAGACTTCATTTAGAATTCAATTTTGGGAAGTTGCCAAAATGTCAAAAGGTTTGAACATTTGAGTAAATAGGATCTCAGATCACTATGAAATAATTCTTAATTACCTATTTAACTAAAGCCATAATAGATTTTAAAGGCAAATATAGGGGCACCTGGGTGGCTCCATGGATTAAGTGTCTGACTTGATTTTAGCTCAGGTCTTGATCTCGGCGTCCTGAGACGCAGCCCCATGTGGGGCTCTGCACTGGGCGGGGAGCCTATTGAAGATTCCCTCACTTCCTCTCCCCACCCAAGTTCCATTCTCTCTTAAAAAAAAAAAAAAATGGGTTTTCTTAAGTGATCAAATACCCTGATAAAGACAACGTGAAGCACAGTAAATTATTTTGGTAAGACACAAAACATTTGCTTTCCAGGTAGATTACCCAAAAGGTTGAAAAATACTTTTCACAATCTTTTATGAAAAGCAGACCGATAGTCAAAGAAAAGTTTGGTTTTTCAGCCGAGACAAAACCAAATTCTAACTTTTTTACCAGTGTGTTTTTAATATTAAAACTCATTATTTAAAAACTTAAATATATCTGTTCCAGCTTTAGTCAGTATAACCACATGTAAAATTTACTTTCCTAGATTCCTGTTCTACAAATTTTCTATAATTATTTTCATGCCCATTAATATTTTGTTCTATTTTTTTTTTAATCTTCCTCAATCTGGAACAAATGGTCATTTTACTTTATTTACCTATTTTTCATCCTTATTATTTCTAAGTAGTTTTAATTACATGTATTGATTAGGGTTCTTAACCCTTAGAATCCTTTATTCCTAGTAGTAACTAAGAAGTAAGTAATTGTGGACTATTATAGTAGCATTCTGCCGATTGACAAATTTATTAATACATTTCACAATTTCTAGAAGTATATTCTTCATAGTAAATCTTACATCTACTTAATTCTTAGCAATTATGTTTACACATGAAAATTTCTTAAGACATTGAACAGCTAATCACTTTAAGTTATCTTTCTTGCTGATAAATTCTACAACAGCAACAATGTGAGTTCCTTTGACCTTTAGTAAACCTATTAGAATTAAGAGTATTATATTTAATGCTGATAACTTTAAAGATAGTATTGTTTTAATTAAATCAACAAACTTAAACTAGTTTTTCTCTTTTCTGTTTTTTTTTTTTAAGATTTTATTTATTTATTTGACAGAGATCACAAGAAGGCAGAAAGGCAGGCAGAGAGAGAGAGAGAGAAAGAGGAGGAAGCAGGCTCCCTGCTGAGCAGAGAGCCCAATGCGGGGCATGATCCCAGGACCCTGGGATCATGACCTGAGCCGAAGGCAGATGCTTTAACCCACTGAGCCACAAGGTGCCCCTAATCTAGTTTTTCTTTATCAAAGATTATTCTAGATCACATTGGTGTAGGAAAGACGTTTGTGTTCAAAGCCAACGGCCAAGGAAGAATTCTTGAGACGTCTTTGTTGCAAAAAGATGGTTTTATTAAAGCAAGGGACAGGACCCAAGGGCAAAAGAGCTGCGCTGGGGTCATGAGGAGTGGCCCATTATATACTTTCCTGATAAGAATTATCTCCCTAATAAGTCAATCAGAGAAAGACAATTATCATATGATCTCCCTGATATGAAGAATTTGAGAAGCAATGTGGGGGGTTTGATGGGTAGGGAAGGAAAAAATGAAACAAGATGGGATTGGGAGGGAGACAAACCCTGAGACTCACAAAACAAACTGAGGGTTGCTGAGGGAAGGGGGAGGTATGGAGAGGGTGGTTGGGTTATGGACATTGGGGAGGGTATGTGCTATGGTGAGTGCTGTGAAGTGTGTAAACCTGGTGATTCACAGACCTGTATCCCTGGGGCTAATAATACATTATATGTTAATAAAAAATTTAAAAATTAAAAAAAAAAAAAAGAATTACCTCCTTGAAGTTTGCATTTCAAGAGATGGCCCTGGGTTCCTGGGGGAAACCAGATACAACATTTACATCTCAAAGGCACAGAGAGAGGATATAAATTTCTTCAAGAAGGGCTTTTGTTTCCTAAATCCACATTTTTTACAATATCTGAAAGCCTTTTCAAATGAATAGGGATTTGGAGATTGGTAAAAAGGATAGCTGGGCTTTGAAATGTTTCTAAGTCTACATTTCTGTTTTTGTAAAGACTCGATTTGTTAGACAAGTACACTTGGTAATTCTTCAAAGAACCAGGATGTAATTTAAATGTCAAGATGCTGACCCAGCCATCTCACTACATTATCCTCAAATCGCTTCTTTATATCCTGGAGAAGATCTTCAACTAAGATGGAAATCGAAAGATTCCTAAATTCTAGACTTACAGTTGTTTCTTTGGAATGTTTTAGTAAACCCTTCCTCAATGGCTTCAGAATGTTTTACTTTCCCTCTGGGCACACAGTTTCATTTTGACTTAGGAGAGAAGGCATTAAAAACAAAAGTTCCTATCTGGCTCTGAATATCAATTTCCAATTTGGCCAACTTCTAACCATAGAGCTACTTAAAAAAAAATCTTTTTTAATAACTTGTCAGGTTTCAGCTAGGACAAACAGTAAATATTTCTGGCAGTATTGCACAATCCCACGGACACATGAGGAGGCGAAGATGATGCAAGAGATTACTTCCCTCCCAGCAACGAGTATAGTGAGTGCCCGGCTGAGACAGCTTTCTCTTAGGGCACTTCATAAACGGATAAGCTTCTCTAAAAATGGTTGAAAGTTATCCACAGTGGCCACTGTCATTCAAGATTACCTTTGGTAAAGTACCCCTACTTGTTCAGCCTTAAAACAAAATTTTTTCACCTGAGGCTTCATACTGGACCAGTCTGGTTTAGGTTAGACCCAATGTGACTCCAGACCCAGCTAAATTTCTAAATCTGAATCAGTCCTCAGAAGTCACTTTGACTCACTCTAATTCTGACCAGTTTTCAGACCCATTATGGAAAAAGAAATGCCAGGGTGGGTGAGTTGCTTAGTCAGTTTTATTCCTAATTTCAGCTCAGGTCATGATCTCAGGACACAGAGGTCAAGGTCCGTGTTGGGCTCCACACCCAGCTTAAGATTCTCTCTCTCTCTTCCTCTGCTCCCCCCCTCCCTGTCCCCCCCCCCCCCACACTCCTATTCCTCTCTCTCTGTCTCTCTCTCTCTGTCTCTCAGAAAAAAAGAAGAAGTTAAAGTTTGCAATGTCATGGGCTCCACAGGCACCCATGCCTGGTTGTTAATTGCCCCAGGGGCCATCAGGATCTCCTTCAGTTCCCTCTTCTGACACTAGAACTGTTAAAAGATAAACTAGGGTATACTAAACATCTACAGAGCTTATTTGAGCAAAAATCAATTAAAATTGGGCAGCCCCAAATGAGAAGTGGTGAGAAGCATTTCCTAAGAGACCATTTTTTAGCATTAGCTGAAAGATTCACCTCATTCTTTTTAATGCCCACCAAATATTTCGTTGAATGGTCATAACAAATAACCTAGACTACTAATGGAAATTTTGGGGTATTTCAGCTTTTTATACTACATTACAACAAATGTCTTTGTAAAATATTTTTGTTTGCATTAAAGCTTGGATTTTTCTTCTCTACCACATGTTTCTGAGAGAGCATCAGGGAAGGGCACACTCTCAAATAAGAGATAGCTGTGGAAACTTCCATGGAAGAGATGAACAGGTAGATTGGGCTTTAAAGAAAGCTAGAAGAAAGAGGATGGCATGTGCAAAGCCTCATGGGGTGTGGAAATGCTCAGGGCTTATTTGGAAAGCCTAAGGAGGAATTGAGACTGGGATGGCTTTTGTAGAGGGGTCTCCTCCAGTCCATGGGATTAGACAAGTGAGTGGGACTTAGATTGTAACAGCCCTTGAATGACACTCATAGGAGTATGGACTTTCCACTGAACTGTAGAAAACCATTCATGGGTTCTAGAAAAAAAGAGTAGTATTGTATATAGAGTATGTATTGAATATGGCAGCAACAAGTAAAGCAGTTTGGTTTCAGATGATTAGAAGATGAATCTTTGGTGTCATGACATTAAAGCTAATGAGAAAAGGGCAAAGTAGAGATAACCTTGGAGAAAAATCTGCTCTTTGAGGCAGCTGAAGCTGCGACATGGATGGGATTTCTGGGGGGAGAATCTGTGGAATAAAGAGCAGAAAGTTGGGTACTAAGCCACTGGCCTTCTCTATCTTCAGAGAACAGGAAGAGCAGTGCCCAGCAGCAAACCCTGGAAAATGACCAGAAAAGTAGGAGAACTCAACCTCAAACTGTGCAAGCAAAGGATAGCTCTTTAGGGAGATGGTCATGAAAATGTTAAAAACTGAAAGGAAACAAATGCTATAAAAAGTACCAGTGGATCTGCTAATTAGTGAGCATTACCAGAAAACTGCTTCAGGACAGGGATTGAAGTAGATAGAACTCCAGCTTGCAATGATGTAAAGAGAGACCATGGCGAATAAAAATTGAGACAGAGTAGAGCACGTTTTAAAGAAAAGTAAAGAAAGGAGAAAGAGTAGAAATTTAAAAAACTAATAGGATAAAGAAAAGGATTATCAAGCACTAATTGTCACAAGAACTAACATTTCTTATAGAACCATAGCACACACGTGGTCTTACTTGACCCTCGTAATAACCACTTTATATGTGAGCAAATGGCAACTCAGAGGGTTGAAGGGACTTATCTGAGTATACACAGGTCAGAAGCAGCAGGGCCAGGACACCAGACCCAGGCCTTCTGACTGCACACATAGATGTCCCTCCCATATGTCACATTGCCTCCAGAAAATAAGACAGGCGTTAGAAGCTTCTCGTACTCTTCACGTCCCAGAGCTCTTTCTCATGCATTATTGTACCTTATTCTAACAACAAATTTGAAGGCAAATACCATCATCATCACCATCACCATCATCATCATCACCATCATCATCATCACCATCATCATCATCATCACCATCATCATCACCATCATCATCATCATCACTGACATTCTGCCCCTAAAGAAACTGGCTGAGAGGGGTGGAGAGGCTCTCCCAGGAGCACATAGCAGAGGGGTTTCAGAGGTGGCACTCAACACCGGCTGTCCTGACACAATTGTCGAGTATGTTTTGATGATCCAGGAAGAAAACTACAGAGAGATTTTAAATTGTGTTTTTATGATGGACACTGACTCATGCATCTGTGCTACAGAGTGTATTTTTCTGCCCCATATTCATTAACTTTGTAACTTACTGTAGCGCTTGGCCTTTCTTTTATTGATATTTGACTTTTCCCAAAATTAAAAAAAACAGCAATGGTATTATGATTCATGAAATCCCTTTTGGCTTCTTTGTCTCTTCTATCTCTCAGAAAGGTGGAGGTTTCTAATACATGTACAATGTGAATTTTATTTTTAATATAACTGGGACAGTTTTTAATGGTCATTTTTATGCACTATCCCAGGATTACTGTGACATGATTCTTGGCATTTTCTAAAAAGGATATTTTGGTATATTATTTCCTTTTTTCATTTGCTTCCTCTCACATTCACTTTTCACTGTGAGCCAAAGTAAGACTGCTTGGAATGAGGTATTCTACGGAAATATCATGCTGTCACTGCCCTCGCCGGATATTGGAAGATGGTGGGTGGCACAAAGGATCATGTTTGGTTTTCAATGGCTGAAATAAGATTTGCTTTCACCAGTCCTGGTGGCCTGGTTCCCTTAGCGCAGGAGTAATTTTCAGGAGATAGGAACAGCTCCCCACTTCTCCCTGTCCCCCAGGATCAAGCAAAATTAAAAGACGTGTAGCTAATGAATTGTTGGCTGTCTCTAGCTGCCATGTTCCTGCTGTGTGCGGTGAAAGTCCCCGAGGCTGTGTCTGACATGTTGATGTCCGAGTTCCACCACCCAGAGACAGTACAGAGGCTGAATGCTGTTCTCAAATTCCACACACTCTGGAGGTTTCGCTACCAGGTCTGGCCCCGGATGGAGGAAGGAGCACAGCAGATTTTCAAGGTGAGGGATACTTCCGCCATAGGAATTAGATTTGCAAACCCAACCCAAGGCTTGTTTAAATCCTTGAACCTCAGATCTACAGTGTATGGCCCAAGGGATGCTTCTTTTTCTTTTTCTCTGTGATTATATAAGCAAAGCTAACTCATATATAAATGAATTCTTGTTTTTATAAAAAATACTGAAATATGAAAGAGTGGTAGAGTATGAAAATCAAATTTCTACAAACCTCAAGATCCCACTACCATCCTCAGAGGTATGCCCATAAAAGTTTGGGGTATAATCTTTGAGATACTTTGCTGTATTTATACAGATAGATATTTTTTGGAGGATGGGGTAATTAACTCAAATAGAGAGCATATATTTGAAACCGTTCATTTTTTTAATGACTAAACTGAGATCAAAAGACGTTCACCCTGTGCTCTGTAACATCATGTACTCTACAAGATGATTTCATAACTATACTTCGACTCATTCTAGCTTATTTTCCGTCTTACCTCATTCTTCTGATATCAACTAACAGATCCCGCCTCCCAGTATAAACTTCACCCTGCCCTCACCAGTGCTTGGAATGCCATCTGTCCCAATGTTTGACCCCCCTTGGGTGCCTCAATGCAGCGGGAGTGTCCAGGACCCCATTAATGAAGACCAGTCTGTGAGTAACAGGCACTTTGTTTCTCATCACTGCAGGCTCCGCGGTGTCCATGTAAGAGAGAAGTACAATGAGTGCATGAGAAAATTTGTTCCTTCTTGTCATCAGAATGTCATAGCACAGAGAATCAGCCATGAAAGATTTTTGTTCTTGTGAGTAGAATAGAAGGAACTAATATGCAGTAGTGAGCATTTGCAGACCTCTAAGCCAACACAGTTTTGTTTTATGATCTCAGTAGCAGCCACCTTTCACAACTGTTAAAAGCATTAGCCATTGATTTCTTGTCCAAGTGTAGCACTATTGTCTCTAGTTATTAGAAAGCAAAGATATTCACCTAACCTGTAATATCGAAGCTACCCAAAAGGTAATGAGATTGACCCTGGATGAATAAGAAAAAGACCTGAGTTGACAGCTCTTATTTCCTTGTTTGGACGTTGGTCTGTTCTTCACTTTGTTGATCATTAGTATCTTCATCACAAATATCACTCTGAGACCTCAGGTCTTTTGTACTCTAATATATCAGTGCTACATGTAGTAGAATTCACCAACAGTTAAGTTGAGAGAACTGTCCATTCATAGACAAGAACCAAGAATAAGTGCTTTTTGAAAAAAAGGAGTGCAAAATATGCATTTTTCACCTGTTGAATTTTCTGATTTACAAGAGTAATGTAGAAAATATGGAAAATCAAAAAAGGAAAAGAAAATAGATATATTCTTCAGCACAAATCCATGACTATTTTCCTTTACAAATTCCCATGGAATTTAGGATAATTAGTATATAAATATTAAAGATTTTTGATACACCACCCAAAATAGCCCCAGGAAGATTTTACCATTTTACCCATATACAATAGAAAAGGAAAGTGTGTCATCATTATTCAAATACTATTCAAACTAGTATTTTTTTTAATGCCACTTTGAATGGCAAAAAACAAAGTCATTGGTTTTTTTATTTGCAATTCTTTAAAAAGTCACTTGAATATATGAAGTTAGGTTGAACATTTTTGTACATTGCACATTTTCTAGGCATTGTAGTTTTCTTTGAAGAACTGTTTGAGCTCATTACCCATAAAAATGTTTATACAGAAAATCCAGCATCTGAATCACTGATGTAAGGATCTTGGATTTGTCTCCCGTACAGACAATGGAGTCATTTGAGCCAATGAATATTGGTTATTGGATAGAGAATGTAATTTCTCTGTATACCAAGTTTGCAAGGAATTTGAAACCAAGACCCCAGATTATATATCCAGTTTTTTTTCTCTCATTCCACAATTATTATTTTACCTTAATATAATAAATCAGCTTAACCCTTGATCTGCAAATAAATTGCCATGTGGCCCACCTAATGACCTTAATTGCTCCTGAATCTTTTATCAATGGAAAATTTTAGTCTTATGTAAAGATCCTGTCAACCTTAGTATTGCTATCAATTCTCATAATTTCTATTCACTTTGTTCCTATAAATATTGTTGAGTATTAGCAGTGTGTCACTCTATTTATCTACTATAATTAAGTACTTATGTTGTAGTAGATAGCTGAGATACAAACATGAAATAAATCATGTAACTATTTGGTTTATGTGAGATATCCCATTCCTCCTTCTCTCTGTGGTTCTTTCCCTTTTATTAACCTTGTGAAATAAATGTCCTTCATTTAAGACCATTTCAAAAAGTTGTGGAAAGGACTAGAGTATTAAAATTTTTTATTTGATTTGAATGTTTAGAGTGGATCATTGATATCACCCCAAATTCTAAAGGTGAAATCCCAAAACTTAAAGATATTCTTGAAGAATTAGTCTGATTGAATGAAAATGAATAACTTAGTTACACACAACCTGGAAGCCTGGCAGGAAAAAAAAACAAACAAATGACCATGAAACTAGATCATGGGTGCCCTTCCATTTTCTGCAAAGTGCCACATTTGTGTAATTCTGTGAGAACACTCTTTATGGCTGTGACCTTGCAGAACAGTTTCTATAAAATAAATTGGTCTTCATGTCTCCATAGAAATCCTTTTCAGCCCGGGCTGTGTCCCGCTCCCATCAGAGAGCAGAACACATCTTAAAGAACTTGCAACAGGAGGAAGAGAAGAAACGTCTTGGTAGAGAAGCCAGCCTCATCACCGCCATCCCTATCACCCAGGAGGCTTGTTACGAGCCCACCTGCACACCCAACTCAGAGCCAGAAGAAGAAGGTGCCCCCTACACATGGGACATCCTTGGGGGGGCTAAGGGGCAGGAAATGGAAAGGACTGGCTTTGAAATGAACATTAATGATTTTATGTAATGTGAGGTGATATGCACCCCTCTGTGTCTCTCTCTCTCACCTCCTGACACTAGCAAAAGAAAGAGGAAAGCTATTATGTTCTTCATTTTTGGAGTTGGCCTGTTCCTAGAGGAGCGATGTAGTCACATTGAATGATCCAATATGATAATGGACCAATAGTGATTATGATTCAGAGAACAGCTAAATTCGGAGTGTGTATTAAAGTAATTGCAGTCAATCTTTCATCATTAAAAATGGGGTTAGTCCATTAACTATCAACCTTCACAAATGCAACCAATTTGTTGGTTGGCGTCAGAGACAATTTATGAACCATTCTAATTCAGTGATTCTCTGCTCTGTTTTTGTGGAATCTATGGGAGGAATTTTCTGTCTGTGTTTCTAAAAGATTTTTTTCTATTTGTTAAGTACACTCTAAATTACTTGAGTCTTATGCTCAGAGAGCAGTACACACTTGTGATGTAATACAGCTTTAGCTGTGATGATGACAACTTTGTTACAAAACCAAAGGTCACATTCCCCATTTTCTTTGTCAGTAGAAGAAGTCACCAATCTGGCATCCCGTCGACTATCTGTGAGTCCGTCCTGTACCTCCAGCACTTCCCACAGGAATTACTCCTTCCGCCGAGGGTCAGTCTGGTCTGTGCGTTCAGCTGTTAGTGCTGAAGGTGTGTCCTCTTAGAAATATGTTATTTATTCCTCATGACTCGTGTGTGTTTTGAAACATTTGCCAGTTAGTATTCTTACTACACTTTACTGTCTTCATTAAATAACTTGTCTCAGGACTTGAAGTTCAAAAAATAAGTATTAGATTGAGTGGTAGCCTAAAAAATATTTTTTTATCTAGCAATTGTCTTTCATAATTGGTTCTATTTTGGTTACATTGCAAACAATCATACTGCTGTGGGTTTTCAACCCTGGCTACGCATGACAATCAAGTGAGGAGCTTTAAAAATATACTCAGGCCACAACCAAGACTAAATCAAGATTCCTAAGAATGGGACACACACATCAGTATTTTTAAAATCTACTTGGGATGGAGTAGGATGCTTTAGGATGTTGTTCTGGAATAATTTAACGATCAAAGGAAGACCAGAGTTCATGCTACTCCTATAATGAACGCTGTTCTGGCAAGGTGGCGGGGCAGAGGATATGATACACTTCAGTTCCACGAATTTAAAAAATATGTTTCCTCTAATCGTGAATAACTGTCTGGGACTCACTGCTCATGATTACACAAACTTCATCACTGATTTATAAAGTTATTAAAAAGTTCTACAGAAACCAGTGGTCCTCAACCCTTGGCTATGTAACCCTTGGAAACCTCAAATGACCAGTGCTAATTAATCAGAACTTACAGGGATTGGGCCAAAGGCTCAATTATATTTTTCATAACAGATATAATTTTATTGAGGCATGATTCATGTACCAGAAAACTCACCCTTTCAAATATACAATGCATTGGTTATTAAACAATATTACGCAACCATTATGCAATGGTTAGCTCCTCTAACCATAAATAGTTTAGAATATTTTCATCATCCCAAAAGGAGACCTTATACCCATTAACCGTCATTCCTCATCCACCCTTTCTCCAGCCTGTGGCAAGAAATTATCTTCTATTTCTATGGATTTGCTACTCTGTACATTTCATATAAATAGAGTCCTACAATATGTGGCCTTTTGTGACTGGATATTTCCAGTCAGAATATTTTCAAGGTTCCTCCGTGTGGTCCCATATATCAGTTCTTCATTAGCAGATAAGGTTCCATCATATGGCTATACCACATTGTTTATGAAGTCACCAGTTAATGGGCATTTGGGTTGTAACCACTTTTTGGCTATTTTAAATTACACTACTATAACAGTTATGTACAAGTTTTGTGGGGCAAACTGCCAAGCTATTTTCAAAAGTAACTGTGTCACTTTACATTCCTACCAAAAAGTATGATGGTTCGATATACTTGAATAGTCAAAATAATCTTGGAAATGAAGAACAAAGCAGGAAGACTCACATTTCCTCATTCAAAGCTTCCTGCAGAGCGGCAGCAGTTACCATTGTGTGGTCTCGACATAAGGATGGACAGTAAATCAATGGAATAGAATTGAACAACAAGAGCTAAACCATCCCATTCATGTCGATTTCATGTTTGAAAAGGGTACCGTGAAGATCGAGTAAGGAAAGAATTGTCTCTTCAATAAATGGTGCTGAGACACCTAGACACCTATAACCAAAGGAAGGTTAAATAGGAAAGTTCGAACTGAGAAATGTTGCATTCTAAATACTGAGAAAAGCATCCCGATGATCTCTCTCTCTTCAGATGAGGAACACACCACTGAACACACACCAAACCACCATGTGCCTCAGCCTCCTCAAGCGGTGTTCCCAGCATGCATCTGTGCAGCAGTGCTCCCCATCGTTCATCTAATGGAGGATGGTGAAGTGCGGGAAGATGGAGTAGCAGGTATCCGTTTTGATTAGCGAAACCGTCAATAACTCTAAAAAAATATTTAAGCTGTTATCTGTTGGAGGATAGTGGGGTGCTCTTGAAGATAGTAACTACTGGTCACATGTTGAATTGTTTTGTGTACATATTACAATTACAGATTTGTAGTACACTCTACTAACATTATCAATGTCTTCATCTCCATGTCCCACTACCTTTATGACCAAAAAATTGTATTTAAAATAAATACTTGGATTCCGGAAGTCTTGTTGAGGACCAGAGAACCAAATAACATTTATTTGGCCACATGAAAATCAAGTAGTAATTCTAGCCACCTTAGAAAATCTTAGTTACTACCTCAATACCACCAATGCCATCTGTCCTGCTTGATCACCTTTCCAGACATACTACCTAAAGAGAATAGTTGCAAAGTGAAAAGATAAATGAGGGGTAAAGATGAGTGATCTTAGTGATAGACAACAGGCCAGTATTTTTAATGTTGTTATTTTAAAAAGCCTTAGAGCTCAATAATGATGTTTTTTAAACCCCAACAGAAAAATGGGAAAAGAATATAAATACACAGACCAATGGTCAAATACGATCTGTCAACAATGTTGTTGTTTAAGACAACAATGAAATTTTACATTTCATCTAAAAAAGTGCAAATATTTTTTCATTTTATTTTTTTTATTTGAGTAAAGTCGACATACAGTGTTACATTAGTTTCAGGTGTACAACATAGTGATTCGGCTTCTCTGTATGTTATGTCCTGCTCACCACAAGTGTAGCTACCATACAAAGGTTATCCTAGATGAAAATATCTGTAGTTGGTAAAGATTCAGGGAAAAAAGAATTCTCACACCTTGCTGATGGGAGTGTGGAGCTCAGTACAAGCATTCTGGAACAGTGTCACAGTATGTGTCAAAAACCTTAAAAGTGTGAAAGCCCTTTGATATAGATTTTGACTTCTAGCCATTTCCTAGGGCAATGATTAGAACCATATAAGGGTTTAAATAGGATGCCTCACATTGTACATTATATAAAAAAAAAAAAAAAACAAATTTTAGAGAAGAGTTTAAATGTCCAATGAGCAATTAGTTAATCATGCTACCGCCATATGACAGCATTCTGTGTATATTAGAAATAACATTCTAGAAGAATATTAATATTAACATTTTTAATATATTGCTAAGTAAAAAACCGAGTACCAGAGATTATTTTCTGCATATTATTTTTAAAAATGTGTACATATATATTTTGCATATATGAAGGGGCATACTGCAAAATGTTTATAGTTGTTTCTGTCATTGGTAGACTTACCAGTCCTACTTTTCCGTCTTTCTGTATTTTTCATGTTTTCACTATTAAATTGCCCTACTTCAGCAATTAGAACAAGAATAATGTGCAAAGATAGTTTTGTAATTGATTTCAACCTAAGAAAAACCCACACCTGTTTTAATTATTTATAGACACATGGAAGTTAAAACTTATATTTACATATCTCTTGTTAATATTATTCATTTATATAGTTCATATTTTTAATTGGATGGTTGGTTTGGGAAGCAAATATTGGTATCCTTTATTTAAAATATAGACTGAATGACAAATTCATGCTAAATCCTATATTTCTAGTTTAGAACACTAATTAAACCATTTAGACTGAAGATTCTCCAGCTTATCTTCCACTCATTTCTACCCACCTGTTTCCTTAGCTTGGGCATTTCCAGGCAGTCTTGACCCGATCATTCTCCCCAAAGAAGAAGAAGCACTTTCTTCACATTAGGAATAATTATTTAATCCTAAGATATCCTCATTAGAAGTGGGAGCCTAATTAGGACTGGCTTAACTACTTTACCTCACTGAGGGAGATACTATTTAAAGCCTCCAGGTAAACAATTAAAGATCATTTCTAATTCATATGCATTCTAAACCAAAACATATTTCCTAAAAACCAAATAATTACTTTAGAAATTTCTCCATATAACCAACATTGAAATATGACCAATTTGATAAATACTCACCACTCCTAGTATTAGGGTAATTTCCAAAACAAAGATTCACTAATGTATTCTTTTTAAAAATTGAGATATTGACATATTGCATTGTATTGGTTTTAGGCATACACCATAATAATTTGATATACGTGTATGTTATGAAATATTACCACAATAAGTTTAGTATACCCATGACCACCTGTAGCAACAATTTTTTCTGTAGAACTTTTAAAATTTCCTCTCTTAGCAACCTTCAAATATGCAAGGCAGTGTTGTTAATGGTAGTCCCCAGGCTGTACATTATAGCCTTAGGATTTATTTATTTATCTTATAATTGGAAGTTTTTACCTTTGGACCACTCTCATTCATTTACCACACCCCATCTCTGGAAACCACCAGTCTGGTCTCTGTATCCATGAGTTTGGTTTATTTTAAATTCTACATGTAAGTGAGATCATACAGTATTTGTATTTTTCTGTCTGATTTATTTCCTTTTACATAATGTCCTCAGAATCCATCTTCATTATCATAAATGGCAAGATTTCCTTCTTTTAAGGGTGAATGATACACCATTGTACGTCCCAAGTGTGTTCTTTACAAAAGCCATTCCAAAATCTCAAGACCATCCTATACTTCTCATTACCTTTTCTTTATAGGTGAAAATGTTCAGAAATAAGCAGAAAAGAAAACAAATATCTACCTTTCAACAAATAAGAGTTCACAGAATCTTGTTAAGGCAAAAAAAGAGAGACCAATTAAAACGTAGTAAATTGTTTGAATAGCGTATTAACACTTTATCTCTATTTAAGACAAATGCTCAATGTCCTCTCTCTTCTGAAGTGAGTGCTGTGGCCCAGCAAGTCTTATGGAATTGTCTAATTGAAGATCCATCAACAGTTCTTCGACATTTTCTGGAAAAACTGACCATCAGCAATAGACAAGTAATTTCCTCTTTCTTTAGAGTATAGCCATGTAGCTATGTGTGTGAACACCGTTAAAAGCAAACAGTGGGCTTCACAGCACTATGTATAGAACATCAATTCTGACCCAGAGCAAATACATGCTTTAGGTAATGATAATGATGAACAGTACTACACTGCTGCTTTCCTTCAAATTGGTCCATTGACTGATGTCTCCATATGTGTTTGGTACAAGAGCAGTGATGGCCCCGAGATACAAAGAGACTTTCAGTCTTTTAGTCAAAGATTAAGTTCAGTATAGTGTTTCTCAGTAAGGGGTACATTTCCTGAATTTGATTGCTTGTTAGTCTGTGATGTAGGTAAGATTACTAGAATAGTTAAAACTGGCCACTAATCACAAAGATCTAATTTAGCAGACCACCTATAAGAAGATTATGCCAAATAAAAGATTTCTGAGCAATGGCAAAAAAAGCACTGATGATTAAGTAGTATTTGTTCATTTTTTGTGTTATGGTCCTATTTTGTTGGAAGATTAAGTTTAGTTTCTGAAAGGTAAGGTTAATTATTCACATCTCTATTTACCCTCTCTCAAACTAGCTCTTTACCTCTTTGACTCAAAACCTAGGAACCAGACCTGTGAAGTTCATTAAACCACATTTGTTTAATGGCTTCTCAAGATAGGTCTGCCTTACATTTCCATCACACCTGGAAATTATAGCAAATAGAGTTGAGTAAATGTATTGCTCTCCTATGATTTGTCTATGACCAATAGTCAGAGTCTAAATTTTTATCTAAAAAAACCTAACTACTGTTCAGTGATTTCATAGTTTAGCCCCTAAGAGAAGGTATTATAGTTGGTTTAAATGCTGTTTAATAAGTATCACATATACCACATTAAAATGCCGAACATAATGGAAACCAACAAGAGGGAAAAGTAAGAGCCTCCCCCATTTTTAAGAAGTTAATTTTATTTCCTATAGTATGGGCACTGAGATGTAGAAATTCTCTTCTTCTTTCAGGATGAGTTAATGTACATGCTACGCAAACTTCTCTTAAATATTGGAGATTTTCCTGCTCAGACATCTCACATCCTCTTCAACTACTTGGTGAGTTTTCACCTCTAGTAAGTGTTCATTCCCAATTAGGAAGCAGCAACATGAGGGAAAAGGCCATAGGGAATTTTTGCCAATAAATTCCCATTAATGATGTGACTGAAGGTAGATCATAGTCAGCTAAATTCACCATTGTTCGTATGGGGAAGCCCCTCCTGACACACTACTTGGCATGTGGTGGGCACTCAGCAAATATCAGTGTCATCTCTATCTTCCTTTGGCATTATACAACTTCCTTATGTTGGTTCTTAATTTTGGTTTTCTGTTGAGAAACCTTATAATTCATTCTAGTCATTTTTCCTTTTTCCTATATCACTTTTAAAATACACACACACAGAGGCAAATGTTGCCCTAGATGGAAAGTATTTGTGAGTGTATTTTTCCATAGCAACTATCTTTGCTTTAAACCATCCTGACAGCTCCTTCCTGAACCCTCCAGAATATTCCAGTTTCTATAGGATCTCTGCCTTATACCCTAAATGAATATGCAGGTTGGGGGTTATTAGCTTGATGCCTCTTCTTTGAAACTGCACCTTAATCCAGACAGATGGCTGCGTGAATGTTTGTGTTGGGAGGACTTCTCTCTCTCCCTTACGATTGTCAGTCTCCTGGCAGGTAGGGAAAGAGAAGAGGTATCCACATGCATCTGTAACAGAATGAAAGACTTAACACTACACCTCTTATGTGCAGAGAAAATGTGTAATGCCTTTCTCTCATCTATGACTGATTTGGCTTTTTCCTGAGTGTCCACCAGCTGGTTGACAAGGGAAAGAATATAAATAAGTGTCCAATCCAGTCTCAAGTTCAGACTGATAAAAACATATAAATAGTAACTTTGGATAGTGTTCAGTCTCTCTTGGCTAAAAATATTTAGTCTCTAGGAATTCTCCTCCCTTCCGACTTCTTTCATCTCTAAACATTATGTGGGGTTGGAGAGAAAAAAAGATCTTTGTTGTTGGAAGGTGGAGGGAGGACAGCAAAATATCCTCCAGACAGAGAACATTGAGATGGAAAAACGAAGCAAGCCACTCCATACCATTCATACAAAACTGTATTCAGAGTAACTTACTGACAGGGAAGAGGGGGCAGACACCAATCCAAGGGCTAGACAGCTATTTTCTGCAAAGTCCAGGCCTTAATCCACAGCTTTTATAGAGCAAGGGCATGGCGATGAGGAATAAGTGTAGCCTTCCAACATTCTGGTCAGGGCCTACCTTCACCTCCAAGGGACTTGGGACACGTAGCAACAAGGGAAGTCAGTGCATGGACATGAATGAGTTGAGGGCCAAGATTAGAGTCAGTATTATCAGCACTCCTACATTCGTTCAGCATTCTGTCTCTTGTTCAAGCTTTGCTCTGGCTCCTCCCTTTGTGACATAATGTTCTTTATCTGGCTGGCTGCTAGATGCCTGGCTGGTGGAAGCCAGAGCCCACGGCTACTATGACTTCAGTCTACCGGCCCCCAGGGGTACTTGCTGAGAGACAACCTCACCTCAGCTCCTGCTGATGCTAAACGCCCCTCTAGATTCTGGTTACACGTCCCCTGTGGCTCCAGCTTAGGGAGATCCCTGGCTAGAGCATTAGGCTCAGTGACACCAGTCTGTGACGATTCTATCCAGAAAGTTCTCTAGTCAAACTTTCTGTTATTTCTTGGTCCTATGTACACGACACAAAAACCAAAGGTAGGTTATCAAAGCCATATGTCAGGGCCTTCCTCAGGTTAAAAATGTGCCCTACCATGTTTGTGTAGCATTCCAGTTGGTATCAAAAGGCTCCGAGGTAAACTTCTGTTAGAGACCCTAACAGAGACTGGAGGCAAAAGTCCCTTCAGTGTGCCTGCCCATTCCCTCAGGTCCCTGGGTAGGGGAGATGCTCACCTGGACCACTGCTCTCCATTGTCCTTCAGCCTTGGGAAAAGAAGATGGGCATTTCATTTCCTGTCTTCCATACTCTTCCCTGTCAACTCCAAATAAGCCTTAATGGCAGACATAGATCCTCCCACCTAGGTTATTGACAAGCTAATAGAGAAAAGATCTGGCAACACTTTGGCTTTGTTGTATAACCTTGTTTTACATGAAAATAAATTTCTATTTTTCATTTCTCTCTAAACCCTAATCTTTCCCCAAATCCCAAGTATATGGATGCCTTGAATGGACTAGAGGAGGGGCCTTATAGTCAGAATGGTAAAACAGTGAAGGACAAATTCCTTTTTAAACCATTACCCTTATCATGTATCTCTTTTTTCTAATGACTTAAAGATATGTATAGCGGGCATGTTGGGACCAGTGACCCATCTATTCTAATTTTGTCAGGGACTATTTATTTAACTGTGACCCAGTGACCTTCACTCTGAGGTTTGAGCCCATCTCGGGGTGTATGAAAACTTTTAAAGGGATTTGGTGCTTAGATAGTTTTAAGGGAATCAATCTCCAAATCCTCAACTTAAAAATATACAGTAACACTTTGTGAGCATGCCTGCCATCTCAAACTTCATTCCTCTACTGTTCACAAGAAAGGCCTACCCTGACCAGCCCAGATATCACCAGATGCATTGAAGATGTGAAAGACAAAGAAGGAATCTGATGTACTGCATGAGTTTTAAGGAAGCCTCATTTCTGATGGATCAAGGCATTTTATTTTTTTTAAGATTTTATTTTATTTGACAGAGAGAGAGATCACAAGTAGGCAGAGAGGCAGGCAGCGAGAGAGGAGGAAGCAGGTTCCCCACCAAGCAAAGAGCCCAATGCAGGGCTTAATCCCAGGACCCTGAGATCATGACCTGGGCTGAAGGCTGAGGCTTAACCCACTGAGCCACCCAGGTGCCCAGATCAAGGCACTTTAAACCCATAGGATGGGCAGTAGCTCCTTCTGAACACGGATCCTGTCCCTGTCCTTTAATAAAATCACCTTTTTGCACCCCCGCCAAAAACAAAAACAAAAACAAAAACACACAACACACACACACACACAAATCCCATAGGACTTACCACCTTTTCCAGTCTTTGATAGATTTCTCCTAGAGGTGAGGTTTGGCCCTCATTAGGGTGGTTAGCCTTCAGAGTCACCAAAGCAGGTTAGGTTAGTAGCGCCATAGGCTGATCCTTTCAACATAACTGGAAAGATTTCTAGGATTAAGAAATTTTTCAAGATATAATCGATAAAGCCATGAGGGGGGAAACTTTGATATTATTTCTTTATGATTTTGTTGTGCACTGTTGAATAAAGTACTTAAAACTAATTTCATCAAAATTTGTTGAAATACACATTCCGATTAGTCAATCCACCTTTTATTTCAATGTAGAGAATGTTTAATATATTCTATTAACAAAAAAATTACCTTATGATGAGACATTTTAATATGTACAAAAGGACACAGAGATTTTCAAGATTTTAGGAGACACAAAGAAAAATCTGTTAAGTTCACCAATTCAGCCAAGCACAGTGTTCACTGGTTCACTGGTTAGACATAATCCCATCTGCAAATACTGTTTCAGCAAACATCACGTAGAGCTCAATTTGGAGTGGCCTCAGGACCTGAACTACAAAGTGACTTGAAGCCTGGAAAAACAATCTTCTGCTTTTGTCTTAAATCACCATTCCCATGATACACAAAAACGTATTTCAACCTATTCTGGTTGGCTTTCCAGTTCTACTCTCTCTTGCTCAAGGCCACTGAAAGTATTAGAGGAACCATTGAACAGAGAATGTGAAGGAACAAAAGAATATTTGATTAAGAAAAAAAGAGCCAAGGAAATGAGAATGTTTGCTCATGGTTATCGTGGCTTTGTGACCTCTTCCTATTCTTCTAGGTGGGATTAATCATGTACTTCGTGCGGACCCCCTGCGAGTGGGGGATGGATGCCATTTCAGCCACCCTGACTTTCCTGTGGGAGGTGGTGGGTTATGTGGAGGGCCTCTTCTTCAAGGATCTCAAGCAGACCATGAAGAAGGAGCAGTGCGAGGTAAAGCTGCTGGTGACCGCTTCCATGCCAGGTAACCCATTACTGCTATTGGATGACATAACTTTTCTCTTTGTTTAAGCATATAAATAAACCTTTTAAAGACCAGCCACCTCTTTCATTCTGAGAAGATTGTCAAGAGTCCTGACCCTGGTGTTGAGGGCTTCAAAAATTTTTGTTTAATACAATCTGAAGAAGTACAATAGACCCTTTAAAAGTTAGCAGTTGCCAGATGAAAGGGGAGACATCAGAACCGAGCCACATGAATCCGTCCTTGAAAAGCAGCCAGGGTTGAAGATGTATTTGAGTCTATCACACAGGGCCAGCTGAACAGGGAGTCTTTCTGAATGAATGTTTGGCACCGCAAGGGGAACAATACTGTTTGCATGGCATAGACCCCAGATCTTTGTAAACTCCATGAGAGATGGCTTTATGAAAAATTGGAAAAGGGACAAGCAGGAAGAAAGAAAGGAGAGCAACAAAAGAACATGAAGTGTGTTGTAAACTTGAGATAAGGGTCTTTTTCACTCCTGATAGTTTGCTTTTCCTTAAGATAGAAATTATTCCAAGTCTTTATCCTGGTGCAGTGACTAAGAAAATATGAGATGATCCGTGTATTAAAGAGAAAGACACAATTTTATAAAGATGAGAACACAGGTTATGACAGTGTAGAGGTCTGCATTAAAATCACATTACTGCCATTTATTAATATAGTTAGTATTAGCTAAAAAAAAAAAAAGTACACCATTTTTCAAGCTTTCTTTACTCATGGGTAAAACAAGGATGTGATTCATAAAATTCAAGGATGTAAAACAACGATCATGAGTAATCAATGCGTTTAGGTTGATAAAATACTTGCTATCATACCTGACTCATAGCAAGCATTCCATAAATGGAAGTTATGTATTTATATGTTCAATAGGTTATCCAACAAGGTGATCAGTTTTCATTATAGCAAAGAAGCTCATGTTGTCATTCACAGACTTAAAAACAGCTCATTAAAAGTCAAGGTATATCATGACATTCACAAAGACTTATAATGAATGAATGAAGTAGAATAAGTACTAATTCCCTAGCCAAGTAAAATACAGAAAATGTAAATTTAAACTGCATTGCAGGTGCTTGTCATGGTTTTGCTAATATCTCTGTTTATATTTTCTCAACCATTACTGCATGATCATCTCATTTAAAATACAGGGATATAGTACTTGTTGCCATGTTTAGGGTTTGAATTCTGACTCTTCTGCTAAACAAATGTGTCTTTCAAAGGGTTGATATCCAATCTATAAAGAACTCCTCATACTCAACACCCAAAAAACAATCACATCAAAAAATGGGTAGAAGACATGAACAGACACTTCTCCAAAGAAGACATAAAAATGGCTAACAGACACATGGAAAAATGTTCATCATCATTAGCCATCAGGGAGATTCAAATCAAAACCACAGAGATACCACCTTACACCAGTTAGAATGGCCAAAATCAACAAGACAGTAAACAATGTGTGTTGGAAAGGATGTGGAGAAAGAGGAACCCTCTTACACTGTTGGTGGGAAGGCAAGTTGGTGCAGCCACTTTGGAAAACAGTGTGAGATTCCTTTAAAAATTAAAAAGAGAGCTACCCTATGACCCAGCAATTGCACTACTGGGTATTTACCCCAACGATACAGATATAGTGAAAAGAAGGGCCATCTGTACCCCAATGTTCATAGCAGCAATGGCCACAATCACCAAACTGTGGAAAGGGCCAAGATGCCCTTCAAAGGATGAATGGATAAAGAAGATATGGTCCATATATACAATGGAATATTACATCTCCATCAGAAAGGATGAATACCCAACTTTTGTATCAACATGGATGGGACTGGAGGAGCTTATGCTGAGTGAAATAAGTCAAGCAGAGAGAATCAATTAACATATGGTTTCACTTACTTGTGGAGCATAAGGAATAACATGGAGGACATTAGAAGAAGGAAAGGAAAATTGAACCGGGGGAAATCAGAGGGAGAGATGAACCATGAGAGACTGTGGACTCTGAGAAACAATCTGAGGGTTTTGGAAGGGGGTGGGGGATGGGTGAGCTTGGTGGTGGGTATTATGGAGGACACATATTTCATGGAGCACTGGGTATGGTGCATAAACAATGAATTTTGGAACACTGAAAAAATCAAATTAAATCAAAAAAAAAATCTACCATATTTATAGTTAAAAAAAAAAAAAGAAGAAGAAGAAGAATAAAGAAAGAGAGGTAGGAATAAGAAACATCCAATAAATCTAAGCAATACGTCCCAACAGCCATAGGCTTAGCCTCTGGACCAATCTCAAAAGTGATGTTATTTGTTGCCTGCATTCACAGTGGAAGAAAATGTTAAATTTCAGTCAGAGGTTAGTCAAGACAAAAGTGGGCCCTGGGGAAAGAACCCTGCTGTGGGAGGAATGGAGTTTACCCTCAGTCACCAGTCTTCACATAACACCTTTCGTCACACCATGGGCCAGATATTTAAGATACATCCATCATCTTGCTTAATCCTCAAAGGACACTACAGAGTAGGCATCTTTGTTTTTGCTCCATACCTAAAGAAACAGTGATGGAAGTTACTCAAATGTTTTGCTTGAGAACCCGAGGCTTGTGTAGGGAACAGTTTCAAGTCCCAGTCTGCCCACCTGCAGATGCTGTGCTCTTCAGGCTCTGGGGAGGGGGAGGGAGAAGCCAATGTTATGGGAGGTGTTTTATGTATAGTTTCTAACAGTGACCTGCAGTGGCCAAATAAACTTAACTAATATTCAAAAAACAAAAATAAATAAATAAATATGTTTTTGACTAAATTACTTATAAGCTCTTACCTGTAAGAACTTACAAGTCCGTTTCCTTTGTTTTCTCATTTGTAGAATAAGCACAATAATACCCATACCATAGAGTTGCTGTGAGATTTAAGTATTATGCACATAAAATACATATAAAAGTATTGGGAACTCCATAAATAGTGGCTTTTGTTACTTAATTGGTAAATATTTTTAAAACATCTATTTTAACTATAAAAGAGTGATATTAGTCCAATACATAATTTACCTTAAGCAGTTACTAAGAGTAACAATAACAAAAAATATCAGCCCACTGAGAATATTTTAATATTTTGTGCCTTAAAGATATATTTGACTAGAGTGGAGTTCAGCTTATTATTGTGTTTGCCTTCTGTAGGTACCAAAACCTTGGTAGTTCACGGACAGAATGAATGTGATATCCCAACCCAGTTACCAGTCCATGAAGACACTCAGTTCGAAGCCCTGCTCAAGGTAGGAATGGCTTTTGACAAAAATGATTTTTTAATGCCATGTCTGTGGCCACTTCACTGGTCGTCCATTTAGAATTAAATGATATTTTCCTATCTTCAAATGAATATGTGCATTGACTTACCCTTTGTAGAATCTGCTCCACTGCTCCACTGCTCCACTACCGTGTACTTCCCCGGTTTACTTCCATGACCTTCCCCACACCTGCCAACATTGTAGCTCTGCGTTAAGGTAGACAAATACATCCAGCTCCTCCTTCAACTGAAGCAGAACGTGACACTCTCATGTGTACTATCTCCCCTGGGAGTGCTGTCGATTTCTGCTTCAGAGCTCCCTGGCATCACTTGGGGGTGGTTCTGCAGGGGCTCTGGGGTTGCACACGGAAGGAGCCAGGGCAGGATCTGGGAGCTGCTGATCCTGCCAGGGACCCTTTCTCTGGCACTTAGTTGCACAGTATACAGTCTGACTTCCACATACAAAAATGAGCGAAGAAGTAGAACAATATACCTAAGAATAAATCAGGTAAGTCAAGAAAGTATCTTTAATGGTTATGGCAGTTGTCCCCTTCAGCAGAAAGACAATCCATAGTTACACACACCTGTAAGGCTTTTAAGGTAAAGTAGTAAGTAAAGTACTACAGCGATTCCCCATCGATCTGGATTCCAAACTTTTAGTAAGCTGATTTCCTAGAACGCAGCTCCAAGCCCAGACAGAAGCAGGAAAAGCCTCTGAAAAATTAAGTTGAACCAAACGTGTATATCTTATTTCAGTACAAAATGCCTCCTTCACGCCTTACCCAGACATCTCCAGAGAATTTCTAAGGCCCCGTGCAGCAAACTTCAACAACCACTCCATTCTCCTACTCACACTGAATGCTAGAGTAGCAGGAAGGCAAACAGAGTTAAGTCCCACCCCTGATTCTACCATAACCATTGTGCCCTAAATCGAACAGGACCTCTCCAGGCTCAGATTCTTTTTCGCCAGTACTGGGGTACTAGTGCAGGGTATCCAAGTTACCGACATGGAGGGCATCAAGCTCAGAATACAGTATACAATAATGGCTCAATGTGTTGTAGCTTGTGTTATTCTTAATGGCGTTACCAAACATGCTTTCTTCCTGGCGTTGAGACCAGTAGATGCCACTGTGTCTCCACAGTTCACTCTTCAGTCTGAATTTATAATTGCACATCTTTTCGCACTTGCAGAGCAGATGGTTTATATTGCACCACCAGTCTCTATTATGTCATTCTTTGGGCAACTGTGTATCCAAATCCAATGTGTATCCATACCTATATACATATAAAAAGTATGCAATATCTATAATCCTTATAATCCTTAAAGTTACTTTGTTTTCATGATATTTGTATCTTCCAGCACACTACCTGGCACATGGTATGTTCTCCATAAACATTTGTTTATACTTGTTCTAGGAATGTTTGGAGTTTTTTAATATCCCAGAATCTCAGTCAACCCATTATTTTCTCATGGACAAACGATGGAATCTTATCCACTACAATAAGGTGAGACTGGGCAGTGATGCTCGCCTGTTGAGTTGTGTCGGAAACTTGTCATGCCTTTCCTGAATGTTGCTCTCACTCAGGGAGGCATCGTTGTTCAGAGGTTAGGAGTACGGCCACTTCGGTGATACCACCTTATGTCCGTGTAGCTTTGGACGAGCCACTGCACCTTTGTGCCCTTCATTTTCCTTGTCTGTAAAATGAAGAGGATGATAATAGTATCTGCCATGGGTTGCAATAATTAAAGGTGATAAGGCAAGTTAAGCATTCATTATTATTACCTCCTGATGAAAAATTAAGTTGCCCATATAGTAAGTATGTGTGTCTGCTTGGAATTTTTATGTCCTTGTTCCTTTTTTTATTATGTTGAGTGTGACCATGGTGACCTGACCTAATGACCAAAGGGCACCTCAAGACCATCATTTTAAAATGACTTTCTTCCTCCAGAATGTCCTTTATTAAATTGCCCTTGGCTCCTCTGCTCCTGATGTAGCACCCTAGTGTTTGGAAAGGATGCTAAGCCTAGGTGGTTTGATGCTTTTCTGAGGTGGGGATTTCTCTTCCCTAGGATTTTATAGAATTGGAAAGCATAAATGATAAAACCTTTAGAAAATACATAACTTTGTTTGACATTTGGGTAAAGAGGAAATGAGAGTCAAACGTTTAATCATCTGAACTCTTTTTTGTCTCTTTGTGTAATCCTGCCACAGACATATGTTCGGGATATTTATCCTTTCCGGAGATCAGTATCCCCACAGCTGAACCTTGTACATATGCATCCAGAGAAAGGACAGGAGCTCATTCAGAAGCAGGTGCCTGCCCTCCTCTATTTTATTATATGGTTTTATCAAGTCATTGGGAAAAATGATCGTGAATGTGTTGCCAATCCTGAGATTCTGATTCAGTCCTCTCCAGAGAGAGTGGATGGGTAGACCCACGATCAATAGTTCCCAAAAATCATGTGTTAGTTTTCATAATTTGGATCATAATGTAAAAGGATCAAGGAACACTCACTTGGATTAATGCTATGACAAATCATTGGGTATAAACACTAGAAATCTTTGAATTTATTTACCTACTGGTTTCCAAGTTTTCTTTTCACATTTTTGTAAACCAGGATTGGAAGTACACAAATGTAGCTCTTAGAAAGTTGCCACAGAGGTTTACACTAGTTGGGAAAAATAAAATAAAAGGGATCAATGTATAATGCCTGGGAAAAGCACTGAGCTAAGCTACAGAGACTTGGACACAGTCTTAGCTCTGCCATTGATTGGTCACCTGACCTCAGGCATGTTACTAACTTCCCTTAAAACAGGAGGAGACATAATCAAGCAGTTGTACTTAAATATATGATTGAAGAACAAAATAAGGAAATTCACTATTAGTATGAGAAATATAACAATAGTCCACAATTTGAATAATGATACAATTTTATTATAGTCTATGTGTTACATTCATTTATTTTTTTTTTTCATTTTTAAAGATTTTATTTATTACAGAGAGAGAGAGAGAGCACACGCACACTTGCACATGCCCAAGTAGGAAGGATAGGCTAAGGGGGGAGGAAGGAAATATCAAGCAGACTCCACACCAAGTGCACCTAACAGGGGGCTTCATCCCAGGAACCTGAGATCGTGACCTGAGCCAAAACCGAGACCTTAATTGACTGAGCCACCCAGGCACCCCCCACATTAATTTATTTTTAATAAAATGTCTAAACAATAATTTCAGGATAATTTATCTTTTCTGTTTCTCTGCACATATCAAGGTTAATTTGACATCAGACTATTCAAAATAACTTCATGAAATGAATAAAAATGGCATAGAATTAGACCACTTAAATAATTAAAAATATAGTTAGCATAAACTACCTGAATTGCAGTGGAAAGAAGCAAGTATTACAAACTGTGAGGTGTTGGGTCTTAAGTATACATAACTGTATAATTTCTAAACTAATTACCCCCAAGTTATCTTAGACCCTCATCTTGGCAGCAAAAGAATTAAAACCATAATCAACATAGCACTTCATTAGGTGTTTTCTTTTTATGTTTAAGAATATGTTTTTAAATTGCATAAAATGGAGCTCTTGTTCTACGTACACTCCAAGTTGGAATTTTAAGATTTCTTTCTGAGTTCTGCAGGGAAACTGTAGTATTCAAGCCTGTGGTTCTGGCCCTGGAGTTTCTTCAGCAGCTTTGGACTGCCCATGATATCCCCCATGCACCCATCAGCAATAGAAAAGGAACAAAGAGAAGGGACCAAGAGAATCCTGTCCATGCTATCTAGGTCCCATCAGCTTTTGTCCCAAGATAGGTTCTGCCTGGATCCCATTCCAGTCCTTTTTTAAGAGAAAAACCCAGAACAGCTTAAGGCATCGGTGGAAATGGTAGAGGCACTCGGAACTTACTGACTGGCTCCTGCTGGAAAAAATCTTCCACAGTGTGACATCCAGACAAATGGGCTCTATTTAATATGGAAGGATTCCTGACAACGCTTGCATTGTGCTCCGGCAGCCTGCAAACCCCTGAGAAACACTTCCTTCTGTGGAACAGGCGGGTACAGGAAGTAAGAGTCAATCAAGCATTGTTTGCTCTTTCGATGGGGTGAAGAAAAAAACATTTCTCCCTCAATTCAAACTGCCCCCCTTTGATTTTTTTTTTTTTTTTTTTTTTTTTTTTTTT